TCGGCGGCCTGGGGTTTGCCGGTTCAGATCCCCGGTGGGGACATGGCACCGCTTGGCAAAAGCCATGCTGTGGTAGGCATCCCACATATAAAGCAGAGGAAGATGGGCATGGATGTTAGCTCAGGGCCAGTCTTCCTCAGCAAAAAGAGGAGGATTGGCAGTAGTTACCTTTAGGGCTAATCTTCCTCAAAAAAAAAAAAAAGAGATGCAGGAGAAGCAGGCATCTCTGGGCCCCTTGGCAGGGCTCCCAAGGGGCTGAGGCTGCCCACTGTTCAGGTCAGTGTGGGCACACAGCCCGGGGTGAGGTGGGGTGGTGTTGAGGCTGGCTGTGCTGAAGGGGGTGACCATCAGCGTTCCCGACTGAACACTGCTCAGTGCAAGGCTGAAGGGTTTCCAGGCAGAGCCGGGATGGAGCACAGGCCCATCTGAGGATTCGGGCACGAGCCCACGCGGGTGGCGGGAGTGCACACACATGCTCGGGCGCGTGTAAGCACTGAGTCCTCTTCTGTGTGTGGGGGCCTGAGAGTCAGCAGAGCTGAGGTCCTAGAGGCCACTGTGTGCAATGACCACCCCAGCTGCAACCTCTTCTTTTCCACAACCCTGTCTTTGGAGGCCTCTGGGGATGGGGAAATCCCTGCTTCCTTTGTTCCTTCACAGAAGGAGCTCCTTCCATCTGCTGGGCACTGGCAACGGGGATAAAACAGTCCCCGGTCTCCCGGTGCTTCGGTTCCAGGGAGGACAGGCCATATAAACAAATAAATAGATAATTCAGTGCAGGAAGGGATAATTGCTATGGAGAAAAATAGTCTCCTCCCTCTGCCCCAGTCTCAGCCCTGCAGCTATTAGAAAACAGCCACATCTAGAACCTTCTCTATACCAGGCTAAATACCCCATACTCCTTCAACCATTCTGGACTCCTCTGGTCCCTAGATAGCCATTACCAAGGGACACAAGCCCCTCAGCTGTGCTCAGGCCAAGAAATACCCCACAGGAACCCCAGAGTCCCAGCCCTGGTCCCTAGGTTTCATGGGTTTCCGTGGGTTTCCATTAACACAGCTGGCTTCCCACCTCCGTCCTTGGCAGCCACTTCACACTCCTGACTCATCCTCAGCCCACAGGCAGTGAGGAGCCCCAAGTCTTTTCCTCATGAACTGCCGATAAGCCACATCCTTCCCACCCAGCTTTGAACTTCAGTACCAGTATTTGTATTTATTCTGGGAGTTTCATCGAGTGTGAGGCCGACCCTCGTTCAGCCTGCCCAGGAGGTTTTCCGGTTCCTGATCTGACATCTGACCTCTCTTCCAGCTAAGACAGAAGTCTGATGTGGACATCTGATCCTTCCTATCTTCTGGGCAGAGCTGGAGGCAGCCCACAGGATCTCAGAGGGGCCTCCTGCCAGGGTGGCCTTGCTCCTTCACATGGACTCTTGATGTGTGGCTGCTGAGGGGGCCATGAAACCCCGGAGATGGTGAAAGTCTTGTGGTCAAGTGCAGCCACGTGGTGCATAGAAAGTCTCATGTTCTGGTGGTCAGTCTAGCAACTGATTTTAAAATTGGTTTGACATGTTACAGATCAGAAGTTTCTACAGCTAGATAACCGTCAGAATCACATGGGGGTTCAATAAACAAATTCCCAGGCTCCATCTGCAGTGTCTTCAGGGTGGAGCCCGAGAATTTGTCTTGTTTTTTAAGCTCTGGGGTTACTGAATCCATACTAGCTCTTAATGATCCCCACTGCCCTTTCTGAACGCCCACACACAATTGCTTCCAGAACGCTGCATCTCTGTAGCTCTCTTCCGCAAGGTCCTCTCTGCACAGGCCGGGACATGCTCCTCTGACCATGGCGTCTGGCCAGAGCAAGTATCAGTTCTTTAACTGATGGCCCAACAAAGCTGGGGGCGGGGGGGCCTCTAGTGTCCCCTCACTCAGGTACCTCTCCTGCCCTGGCCTTCCACTCCACCCTCCCACCACAGCTCCTGGCTTCTGCAGGATGGAGAAGACAGGGCAGAACGGGAAGCGGGTGGGGCTGCGTCCTCTGAAGTTCCTCCTCAGGGTGGGGTTAGGGTGAAGTGAGAGACACCCTGGCCTCAGGTGCAACATTTAAGGCAGTACCAACAAACTCAGTCATCAAGATAGAGAATATTTTAATGCAAGATTTTAAAATGAAGATGAATGCAGAAAAATCCATGACGAAGGAAATATCAAAATTTTAAACAGAGACAGGACCAGTAACAGTGCCAAGCCATGTCAGAGCCTGAGGTCAAAGGAAAAATCAGTCATGGAAATGATGCAGAAAAATTACCCTGCTCCCTTCCTTCCAGGCTGCGGGCTGGCACTGGTCCCTCTCGCACCCACACTGCTACAGCTCCTGCGCAACGGTCCCTCCGGGGGCTCCCGCTGGCTGACCACCCTCCCGGCCAGCTCAGGGGTTGAGGTCTGCACTGCTCCGTGCCGCTGCTATTCCTAAAGTGCTTCACCATCCCTTGTCATCTTCCTTCACCCTGCCAACTCCGACGCAAACTGTCCCTGCATTAGACCCTCCCCCACCAAGAAAAGAAAGACAGAAATGACGCAGAGAGCAGGAAAAAAAAAATATTTAAAAATTTAAAATATCTTTAGAGAGAGAATATAATATACCCATGACCACAAAAAAAAAGAGTTTTTTTAAAAAAAGAAATAATCAGAATATAATAAAGAGATCTTGGAAATTAAAATTATGATAGTAGAAAAAAGCAAGTACCATTAAGAACATGAGGTTGAGAAAATCTCCCAGAAAGTGGAACACCAACAACAGTAACAAGCAAACTGACAAATAAACAACAAACGATGCAAAAGGAGTAGACAGCAGAAGAGAGAGGAAAGTTCAAGGGTCAATTCTCGAGATGGACATCTAACCAAGGGGAATGTAGAAAGAAGGGAATGCGGTAGGAAGAAGATTATCGAAGAAATAAAACAAGAAGACTTTCCAGAGTGGTGAATCTAAGACTCTGGAATGAAACAGTCCATCAAATGTCCAGCGCGGTGAGAGAAACAGCCAGAGCAGAGCCCATCCCCGCACTTTGAGAAAGCTGGGGTTACAGAGAACAGCCTGGAAGTTTCCAGAGGTGGGGGAAAGCAGTTATACACAAAGATGGGGCATAAGAGTGACACCAAGACTCCCAACAGTGACATCAGAAGCCAGAAGACAAGAGTGAGATGCCTGCGAACTGCTGAAGGAAAATTATTTTTAGTCTAGAATTCTATATTCAGCCAAACCATCAATCCAGTGTGAGGATAGAATGAAGGCATTTTCAGACATGCAAGCTCTCAGAAGAGCTTGTCCTCCTGTGTAACCTTCCTCAGGAAGCCAAACAAACAAGGAGTGGGGCAGGAAAGAGAAGACCCACGGTCAGGAGAACACGTCGGTCCAGCACAGGAGAGAGGCACGGGGGCTCCAAGGATGAAGAAGGAGGTGGGGGTCCAGGATGGCTGTGGGGCAGGTGGGCAAGCAGCCAGTCCATGTCGGAGTGGGACAACAGGAGAGGGGTTTCCGGGGAAAAAAAAGAGCTGACAGATTTGACCACAACAAAAATTGTATTTGAGGCTAACGGATGTGTATGAATATATGCCATTGTAAGTACAGAAAACTACACAGTAGTGGGGGTGGAGGGGAGGATTCAGGAAAAACAGGAATTATACAAGAAAGTCAACAATGTTATTACCCTGCTCGGGTTCCTGGTGAACAATATTTACATGATCATAATGATACAAAGCAAAGCACATGGATTTAAAAATATTGAGAGCATAAAATGACACTTGGGGGACTACATAAATGGCAAATCTTCATCTACACCACAGGCAGTCAACAGATAAGGTCTAAACAGATTAACCAAGAGGCAGCAGTGTAAGCAAATTACTTAGAAATACGGAGGCAACGGCCTGCCTGGAGGAAAGACTGAAGTGGCGCCTTCTGAGCGAGGGGTGGGCAGGTCTCCAGGGTGGGTGGGCGGGCTGGACTGCTGTGTTTCATTTTCTGCTTTTAGCACTATTTGACCTTTTTGACTATCTGCACGCACTTCTTTGATTTTAAAAGAGTCGCTATTAAAACATAAAATAAAGAAACATATGCCGAGAAGCACATCCTTTTGTTGCTTCCTGTTTCACAGTTTTTCTGCATCCTGAGAACCCACCCTCTTCACTCACAGCCATAGGTGCTTACACACACAGGCATGGCCACACTCACACAGTCACACACACTCACTCATCACAGACACTCAAGCAGCCCATGTGACAGACACACAGGTGAATGTGCATAATACACAAAAACCCTCACACATGTGCAAACACACTCTCGCTGACACAGACACGTAATTATAGATTCACCCACAGACACAGAGGCCCCCGTGGGCCCCCCAGAAAGCCAGCTAGAGAGCAGGGCCAGACACTGCAAGGGCGGCGCTGCCTCCCTCCCTGGCCCCCCTCCCCACCCCTCCCAGAAGTGCCCCAGGCAGCGGAGTTTCTCCCCGGAGCTTCACCCTAATTGCCTTCTCCTCTTAGAGTGCTCTGCCCTCAGGCTGAGCAGCCCGAGCCTCTGCAACCATTAACCTTTTGGGGCCATACGGTCTGTGCAGAAATGAGGTGGGGGAGGGGCCCGAGCTGGCAGCTGGAGGGGACTAATAATGCCACCTTCGTTCAGGTTTAGTGGAGGCCCTAGGAGGGAAGAGCCCAGAGTCAAGAAGCCTGTAGACATGCTGTGCATCCTTGAGCAAGTCTCTCCACCTCTCTGGGTCCACAAGGAGGTAGGCAGCCTATGAAGCTCTGAGATGCTAACATTTTATGACCCAGGCTGAGCCCTGCTTCCGTCCCCTTCCCTGGGATCCCTCTCTCCACGCTGACCTCCAGGGCCAACCCCAAAGGATATGTGATTTATGTGTCTGACACATGTACATGGGATACTGGGGGAGCTCCCCCCACCCCACGAGCCTCCAATTCCCTCCCCTGCCACATTCCTCCCGCACTCACCACGACCTTGGTCCCGTTATCCGGCAGTGTGTCAATGGCCAGGGTGCCTCCACCCAGGTCCTGGCTCAGCTGGGTCCTGTCCGGCTCCGACACCTGCCCAGGGCTCTCTCGGGCTCTCCGATTCCAGCCCTGCGTGGTCCCCTTGGTGGCCCATCCAGAGCCTCGATCTGCATCCTTACCTGGGAGAAGGGGACAGAAAGCTGAGTCCTGGCAGTCCAGAGAGCAGGTCCAGGAAGGGGACCAGCCCACTTACTCTGCAGAGGCCCTGACCCCATGCCAACACTGACTTTGGGGACACTGACTACCAGGACAGGTGACACCCAACATGCACTGAGAGCCATGTGCTGAGCTCCACGCTAAGCAGTCTGCACACGTAGCACTTTTAGCCCTCACCCGGCCCTCCACAGCAGACACGATGCTCTCCATTGTGCAGACAGGAATCAGCAGCAGAGGTTAAAGAAGGTCACACAGTGAAGGTCACAAAGCGGTGAAGACAAGTTTCAAACCTCCAAAGGGGTGATTATTCTCAACCTCAGCAGCACACTGGGATCATCCAGGGAGCTTTAAAAATTCCCGATGTCTGGATCCCCCCCCCCCCCCCCGACCCCTGCCAGAGATTCTGATACGATTGTTCTGTGGTCTGGTCTGGGCATTAGGATTCTTAAATGATCCCCAGGGGAGCTTTTGAGATGCCCTGGACCTAATTCCATAGACAAGGGTGAGAAGCATTGCTCTGGAACATTCCAAGCCAGTTCCTTATCTCTCTGCCAGAAACAGCACATAATCTCAACTTCCAGCGGACTCCAGGCACTAGAGGTCAGAGAGGAGAGTTCTTTCAGTTCAGGGCTTCTGAACCTTGGTACTGTTGACATTTTGGACTGGATAACTCTTTGCTGTGGGTGGCTGTCCTTGGCATTGTAACATGTCTAGCAACATCCCTGGCCTCTGCTCACCAGATGCCAGTAGCAGCTCCCCCCAGGTTGCGACAATCCAAGATGTCTCCATAGTGGGGACCACTGTTTAGTTCTAGCACAACCAGCAAACACTCAGGCAAGTCACTTTTCCCATGAAACAAAGAGCTTAGACACCATCAAGGGTGGTGAATAGGTTTTATCTCAAAAGCCATCTCTAGTCGATTAGTGACACTCTTGATTAGCACTCTAATGAAGACAAATTCTGAGCCTTCTTCTGTGTTTAGCAGGAAAGACTGTCATGATCAACTGGCAATGACTGCCATGGGCACAGGATTGGAAAGCGGCCGCACACAGGCCATTTAGCAGCCATTCCTAGACTTGATGTTCTCTCTAGTTTCCTCTAGGTCATTAAGTTTACCCTAAATGACATATAAATTATGCTTTTCCACTTTAGAAAGATTCATGCCCCCAAAGATGTGTCTTATATTGTCACTCCAATTGTCACACCTACTATGTGTCTATGGGACACAGACCACCAGAGAGTTGGGTCTGATACTCCTTGCCATCTGCATCCATTTCAGGCCCTGCCCTATGTCAGATGCCCTCTCGGCCTCAGCCTGCCCCCACCCACTCCCCGGAGCTCCTGGATGTAGCCCCTTCTCCTGGCCTCGTAACTACCTGCCCATCTCCCTGGTAGACTCGAGGTCCCCCAGGACTCTCCCTGCCTTCTGCAAATGTACATCCTCAGTGTCTAGCAAACTGTAGGTGCTCAATCACTGCATAATTGAGGACACCATATTGGAGGTAACTCTTGGGAGCCAGCAAGGACAGAAGTTGAGACAAGGCTTGGCCAAGACCAGGCCTGGGGCTGGGGCCAGGACTCTTTGCTGTGGGGCCCTGGTTTGTCATTAGACATTTTATCCAATTAAGTCATTCTTGGCTCCTGGTGCCTGCTGGACCCTTGCCGGCCCCCTCTCACTTCTCTGCCCCTAATCTCAACCAGATGCTCTGGAGAAGGTGGGGAGAAGGGCAATCCCCAGACCCCTGCCCCAAGATGCCCACTGGCTAAGATGGACCTGAGCCCAGTGCTAGGAAGGCAGCCTGCCCCTGGCTCAGACCCCAAGCCAGGGCCTGCTTGTCCCTCTCGGGTGGGGCCCACAGCTGCCTCTGGAGACAGAACTGTTTGTGCCGGGCTGATCTGCCTGGCTCCCCAGGTCCTCCTGTGAGCAGCCCTCGGGCCTGGGCTGGAGCCAGAACAGGAAAGGAACATGTGCAGAGCAAGCAGAGGAGCTGAGCTGGCCTGGAAAGGGATGCTGGAGATCTGCAGGCATCATAATCCTGCAACTGAGACAGGAGGGTACCTGGGTGGTGGGGGCCTGAGGCCTGGGGAGAGGGCAGGGAAAGAGGGTCCAGTCAGAGGTGGGGTCAGGGAGGGGACCCCTGTACCCACAAGCTATGCAACCCTGGACCTGTCAGTTTACCTCTCTGAGCCTCAGTTTCCTCATCACTAAAATCATGCCTATGGCACAGGCTGCCATGACCACCGAGCGAGAAACATAAAGAAGAAGCTTTATAACCAGAGGCCTCAGGGCCGGGGTCAGAGGCAAGTCCATGAAGGAGAGCAAGGCGAGGGATGGAGAGGAGGTCGCCGAGGAGCCTGCCCTACCCCTGCCTAGCCCTGAATCTTGCCCTCCCCACCGACAGCACATCTGTCTCCCTGCCACCCTTCCCCCAACCGGTTGGCTAGGACAGGACATCACCCCCTCAGCTCATGGAAGGAGCCAACACAGCTGGTTGCTGACGTGTGTGTGCAGGGGCCCACGTGCCTGTGCATGCACACACAAACACACAGACTTGTCTGAATGCCCTGGTTCTCCTCTCTACATGCTCACGCATGTGTTACACACCTACCCAACACTCAGCCACTCTTGTTGGAGAGCTCCATTTCCCCAGCACCCATTCCACGCCTCTGCGTGCGAGTGTACCAGCCGGTGAGTGACGGCAAGCAGCTTCCAGAGCACACGCTGTTCATCTATCCATCCATCCATTCACCCATGCCCCCAAGTAGCAGCCAATCTAGTGGGATGTCACAATAGGAACAGTAATCATAAAAATGACAGCAAACTTTGAGAGAATGTGCCGGCACTATTCCAAGTGCTTTAAACACATTAACACATTTAATCCCCACAATAACTCCATGAGGGAGGAGCTAGTTTTAGATCTATTGTACAAACTGGGAAACTGAGGCACAAAGATGTTAAGGAACCTCCCAAGGTCCCACAAGTAGTCCGTGGCAGGATTTGCACTCAGGCAGGCTGGCTCTGGGGTCTGCTCAGACCACAGAAAGTGCAATAAGAGGTGACAGGCACCCTCAGGCTGTTTCCTAAGGAGCAGGGACGGCCCCAGGGCTGGAGTGGCTGTGAGCTGGGCTCACTGGGTGCCACTAGGCCTCTGGGAGCTGCCCTGGGAGACTGTGTCCCCTGGGATGCAGGGGGGCGGCCCAGCAGTAGTGCCTTTGCTCCCTTCACGTGCCACTGCCCTGCTCTGGGGCAGGAAGCAATGTGCCGACTTCAAGAGGCCAGACTGCGCCACCCCAGCACCTGGGCCAAGACACCCTCATCCCACCCATCACCCGAGCTTGCCACTCCAGTCCCAGAGCCACCTCTCAGTCCAGTAGCTACTTTAGCCTCCACCCTTCATGCCCTCCAGCTAGTCTCCCACACACCCACTAGAGCATCCGTCTAGAGGGCAAACTTGATTCCATCCCTCCCCTGCTTCCGGCTCGCCACAGCCCTCCAGCTCAGCTTGCCCACCAGGCATTCAAGGCCCTTCGTGACCAGATCCCTGCTCTCTCCTCCAGCCCCCTGTCTCCCTAAAGCCCTCTCCAGGACCCAGCCCTGCTCTCTCTGGTCATGGGGCTTCAAATAGCCAGGACCACTCTGCTCCATAAACAAACCCTTCTCCTGATGAGCTCTTGTTCATCCTTCAAGTCTAACGAGACGTCACGTCTTCCCAGTGCATCCCTGACATCTCTCCCTCTCGCCCCAAATGCTACATGTGCCACCCCAGCCCTGATCCCGACATAGCACCGCTGCCTGAACATCTGTAGGCTCCAGGTGCCTGACATAGAGCAAACACTCAGTAAGTGCATGTGGATGATGGAAGGGAGGGAGGGACTGAGGGAGGAAGGGAGAGGGAGGGAGGAAGAGAGGAAGGAAGGGAGGGAGGAAGAAGGAAGGAAGGAAGGAAGGAAGGAAGGACAGGAAAGAGGAAGCAAGGGAGGGAGAGAGGAAGGAAGGGAGGGAGGGAGGGAGAAAGGTATGTTTAAATGCCCTGAGTCCCTGCGATCCACAGGGCTGAGCAGACCCTTCCCTTGGGACACAGCCCCACCAGAAACCCTCACTGCAATATCACAGCAATAAAAGAGCACAGGGTCGGAGTCATACAAGCTTGAGAGTGAACCCTACTGACGGTGATGTTGGACAAATTGGATAATCTCTCTCAGCCTCAGTTTCCTCATCTGTAAAATGGGGTGATAAAACCTGCACTTGGTAGGTCGTTTTGGGTCTTAAACAAAATAGTGTACACAAAGCACCCAGCCAAGTCCTCCTGCCTTCCCTGGGTCTCACACAAGGACCGACTTTCCGAGGAGCTTGGGAAAAGCTCCAGACCCTGAGCTGAAATCCTGCCTCCTAGTTACAAAGCCCCCAACCGCAGCCTCTCCCCTCCTGCCAGTAGGCAGGTTCCCACCAAGGACCTTCGTCTGGGGAGAGGGAGGGAGGCACGAGGAACTGACAGGAAGGGACCGCCAAATAGTTCAGAGGAGAAGAGAGGAGAGAAGAGTTTGGCTCTCTGGGTTTCTCTCGACGGGGAGAGTCTGGGGTCTGTGACCACCTCTGATTCACTCACTTATTCAATACACATTTAATGAGACCCTACCGTACGACCCACTGTGCTGGGTGCTGGGGCGACAACAGTGAACAAGCAGACACAACCTCTGTGCCCACGAAGTTTCTAGCTGGGAAAGACACATAGAAAATGAACAATGCAGCAAAGGAGACAACGTGAGGTAGTGATAAGCGCTAGGAAGGAATAAGACGGGAGGAGGGGTTGGGAGTTCTTGCTGCTCTGGACAGAGCCATCAGGGTGGGCCTCCCTGAGGAGGTGGCCCTTGAGCTGATTGAGGCCTGGGTGAGAAGCCAGTTCCCTGAAGATCCGAGAGGACAGCAGCCTGAGCGTGTTGAGGAATGGACGTGGGGAGAGTGAGGGCAGGGGTGGGGGTGGAGGAGAGGCTGTCTGACGGCCGCTGTAAGAAGTTTGGATTTTAGTCTCCGTTTGTCTGGAAGTCTCTGGTGGGCAAGGAGGAGGCTGGAAGCAGAGTCGTGTCTGCAAGAGACCCTAGAGACAATCTGGTCCAAATCCCACTTTACAGAAGGCGGAAACCAAGGCTCAGAGACACGGGGAAGTTGCCAGGGTCACCAGGGGCTGGTGCTGGGCCTCGTCTCCTGACTCTCAGGCCAGGACGCCACCTCCAGCTGCCTCTTCCTTCTATGTCTGTTTTAGGGGCCTCTGGTTCCACCCGGGCCAGGCCCTCTGTGCCCCCCACTCCCCCTTTGCACCCCAAGGCCATCTTCTTGTCCGTTCATCTGCCTGTCCGTCAGCCTCTCCTGGTCTCCCCTGCCCCCTGACTACATCTTTAGGTCTCTCCTCATCTTTCTCCCAGTCCCGTTCTAATGATGGATGAAGTCTCAAAGCTCCACCAAACCAGCCCATCCATCAGGAGGGAGGGGAGAGCTCAGCTTCCTCCTGAGGGCACCCCCGCCCCCCGGCCAGCCTGGAGGACTCGGAGTCTTGGGGCTGGATGGCAGTTCCTCTTCAGGTCACACGGGCACTAGTCACAAGAGCCCCACCACGGGGCTGACCCTCCTCAGAGGCCCTCACCAGTGTCTCACCCCCACATCTGTCCTCCCCAGAAGGCTGCCCCTGCCTCCACACAGTCCTTCCCTCAAATCCAGCTGGCCTTGCGGAAAAACCACTGGGCTGAGAGTCAGCAGCCGCCCCCTCCGGCTTCCTAAAGCTTCCTTAGGTGGAACCAGCCTCTCCCGCTGCAGAGAAAGTCCCTTTCTCCTGGCTGAATCTCTGTGGAAGCCGAGAAGACACAGTGTCCTCTACTTAGAGATGTGACTTGAGTCTCTGCTGCCCCCTCCTCCTGGCTTTCCCAGGTGTCTCTGAAGAGGCAGCCCTCAGCCAGGCCTGGGTCTGCCCGCCACCCCCAGAGCATCCTCCTTACTTCCCAATGCCCCTTCCCCAACCCTCTCCACGGTATGCCCCACTCAGTCGGGGGTTCAGAGCCCTCCCTCATCAACCCAGTCACATCTCGAGTTCAGAAGATCTCACCAGGTTGGGGCTGCAGAGGGCCTCAAAAACTGACCAGTCCAATCCCTTTCTTTTTATAGGGTTTGTTTTCAAAATTATCAATTACCCATTCACATCATAACAAATCTGAAATGGAAAGGCAATCATAAAAAAGAAAAAAGATCTCTCATAATCCTGCCACCAAGAGTCAAAGATTTTGCCCACAGCCGCACTTAATAAGTGAGGAAATAGGCCCAGAGAAGGGAAGTAACTTGCTCAAGGTCACACAGCAACTGAGATGCTGGGACTAGAAGCCAAGTCTCTAGCCACTCTCTAGGTGGTCTCCCTGAAAACTGGTGGGTGGGCACCAGCAGCCTCTTGTGACAATAGCTACCACTGCTCTCTGCCCACACCGCCACCATTGGCACCTTTCCCCACCCTCCTCCACAGGGACCCAGGCCTGTCCCAGCCACATACAGGGACCATTAAAGTCCAGAACGCTGTCACTGCAGCTCTGCATGATGCCAGCGCACCCCTGAGACACATCGGCTCAACCACAGTGTCACCCTCGCCAACGCCCCCACCCGCTCCATCCCTTCCGAGGGTCATCTGTGCCAGTGAGGCATGGAGCTCTGTCTTCCCAATTCTCTCCGTCAAAAGGCTTGACTGCAGATTACCCACCTCCCCAACCCCAGAGAAAGGCTGAACGCATGGGGAGAAAGGAGGAAAATGTAACATTATTATGTGTCGAAAAATGGCTCTCCTTTTATTACACAAGGGACTGAAGGTAGATCTCAGAAAGGACTTCCAGGTGGGAGAGACGATTGTGGAGAAATGATGTAGGGGAAGAGGAGTGTGCAGGACAGGAGCCCCCCATCTAGAGTCAGACCAGCAAAAGGCCAAGGGCCACCAGGGCAGGGCAGAGCAGAGCAGGAGTGACAGGAAGACCCTCGTGGGAGTTGAGGCTGGGGCGTTGGGGAGCAGCAAGTTGCTTCTTCCTGGGCCCAGGACTGCTCTCCAGGTACCAAACAGAGAGAGGAAGGTGACCCGTCACTACTGCCCTTGCCGGGGGAGAGACACAGGGTGTCCACCATCCCCCTGGCTGCTCCCATCCAGCCCCCAAATCCGACTCAGACCCGACCTGGTCAGCTCGGGCGGGGCAGGGAGGAGAAAGAGGAGGCAAAGCTGGGACAGGAGGCTCCCAGGCTCCGCATCTTACCAGAATTCAGCCTCGCCCGGCGTGACCAGGGCTTTCTCTAACTCTCCCACTGTCCCCTCTGGGGTCAGAGCCCACTGCCTTATGGAGCCCCCGCTCCTGGGGCCCCTCCAGCGTCCTTCGAGGAGGGAAGGAGAGGTTGGGGCATCAGCGTCTGACGCCTGCACCCTCACTCACACACTCTCCGTGTTTGGGACAGTGGGGTCCCGTCCACCTGCCACAGCCCTCAGGGCTCCTCCCCTCCCGCGGACAACACCCCCTCCCCAATCTCGCCAGCCTGTCGGGCCAGCCCATACCCACGCCTGCCTGCCCCCTCCCCGCCGCCTGGCCCACCCGGGCCACCTCGGGCCAGTCCTACCTGCTCCGGGCTGGGGGCTGAGCGCCCGGGCAGCCTCCCTGAGCACCAGCACCAGGAGCCAGAGCTCGCCCCGCATGGTGGTGGAGGACCCGCCCCCGGCCGGCTGCTGCCCCGGCCCTGGCGAGGGAGGCGGCCCGGGCTCGGGCGGCGCGGTCCCCGGGGCGGGCTGGCCGAGGGGTGGGCGCGCGGAGGCGGCGGAGCGCGGGGCCGGCGCGGCTGCGGGAGCGCGAGCGGGCGGAGAGAGCGGGGCGGCGGCGGCCTCCCGGAGCGCGGCCGCGGCGGGGGCGGGGCGGGGAGGGGGCGCGGCGCCCGGAGCTCCCCAGGCTCCCCCAGCCCGCCCCGCCCGCCCCGCGCTCCCGGAGGGCGCCCGCAGCCGCTCCCAAGACTGGGGGCGGGGGCGGAGCAGGGGGACAGGGCGGGGGCCCCTGGGCTGGGAGAACCCCTGTAGAGCATCACTGCTCCCTCTCACCCCCAGCACCTTAGCTCCTGCCTCGCTTCCCCTCCTCCACTCCCCCGGGCAAAACCGCGGAGAGAAGACCCGGGGGCCAGACCCCAGGAAGCGACTGGCGCCCCTTCCTCCGGCGTTGGGCTCCTGCCATACCCCCGACTCAGCTCTACCAGCCTTCCAGACTTTCTGCGCTGTTCCTTAGAGTTCTGTGGGTTTCTGAAGCCCACTCCCACCCCGGAAATCTTCCCTTGCAGCTTCTCTGCCCAGCAGAGGCCCAAATTCCGCCCCCCGCCCCACCACGACTCCTCTCCGCTTTATCCCGCCGCCCCCCCAGCACAATCTTGCCCCCCAATCCAGGGGACATGTGGTGGAGGGGGCCTGCCTCACGCCTATTTTGAAATAGCCTGGATCTCTACCCAACCCCAGAAAGTAACCGAGGTCACTCTCCTCTTTGGGGACCCCAGGCCTGCTCAGGGCCCCACCCAATCAATCTTCAAAGCAAGGAGATGTCTCACCCCACCGGCCACACCTTGTAACAGGCTCTGGGGATTGATCCTTTTTTTTTTTCAGGACAGAATAAAAATACCCGCAATTTAGGAGATTTAATAGACAGCAGGGAATCAGGTCAGGACACAGAGGTGCCTCTTCCCTCCCCTGACCTACTTCGTACGATGGCAAGGAGCTGGCGCGCTGGAGGGTGGGAGAGTGAGGGGTGAGGGGCACCCTGGCTTCTATGGGGCTGGGGACTAGGACTGGAAATCGCGGAGAGGAAGAGCGTGGACGCTGAGCGCCACTGGGGAATTCCCCAGGAAGAGGGACATGCGTCGGGACAGGAGAAGGAACCCTGCGGGCTGGAAGGGATGAGTTCCCTGACACTGAGGCCAAAGAGAGGACCTGAGAAGAAGACTCTAAGCTCTCAGAATCCCAGTTCCTCCTTCCTCAGGACCCAGGGTCCCAGGAACGACCTCCTCCAACCTTAAGCCCTCTATTCCCTTACAATGTGACAAGTCAAGAACTGTCTGTAAGTTCTTTTTGTTGTCTAATTTAAATCCCGAATTCGTCGACTCTCCAGTAGGATCAAATAGGCAGCCGCTTCCAGCTGCGGCTTCTTGTTTCCCTCTAGCGGCCACGTGAGGAGCAGCAACGCGTGTGTTTTGCGGTTTCCCTCGCTTCTCCAGATCTACCCAGGTCTGGGTCTGTCCGCGACCCCCGGCTCTGACCCGGCGGGGCCACACGCCCCTGCCTTCCGGGAAGTCAAGTGAGAGGTCCCGGGACAGAATTCCAGCTCTAGCCCCGGTGTTTTTGTATATGCCTCCGTCCAGGGTGCCCACAATCTGTCTTATAAGATTTCTTATACGGGCTTAGGCTGAAACAGCAACTTGAAAATAATTAGAAGCAAATGACCTGTAAATTTTTTTTAAATGTAAGCCTCTAGAACTGGAGCGCACATCAGAATCACCTGGAGGGCTTATTAAAACGCAGCTTTCTAGGCGCCACCTCCAAGTTTCTACTTCAGTGGTTCCGGGATGGGGCCGAGAAGCTGCACTTCTAACACGTTCCCAGGTGGTGGTGCTGGTTCCAAGACCACATTTTGAGAGCCACTGCTTAACAATTCCCTTTGCTTGCACTGTCTCACCACTCCTTGTCTGCCCAAAAGAGAGGTGGCGGAGGAAATGTCAACATAATGTGGAAGAAAAAAATTAAAAGTTTTAAAATAAATCGTAGCTCGAGACAAGGATTTCGGGACCTAAAAAAGGATAATGGCGAGGGGGCACCCGGATTTGAACCGGGGACCTCTTGATCTGCAGTCAAATGCTCTACCACTGAGCTATACCCCCTCTGCCGGCGGAGTGACTGTGGGTAGTCTCTTGGCGCTGCTGCTGCTGCGCAGGCGTCCTGAGACGCTCACGAACAGAAGTGAGGTTCTACTTTAACGAGAGTTGAAAAGATTATAAATCTGAGATTGCTCTCCTGGACGCAGGGTTTCTTTCCTGAAGCTCTGAGTTAGAGATTTCTACTGATGGTGTAAGAAAACCCAATTTGGGGATATGTAAGGGGAAGTCCCTCGAGATCCTTCGAGATCCTTCCCTTCGGGGGCGCTCCTATGGGCCGGCGTCCCCGTCTGCTCGGCTAGAGCTCTGTTACTGCTTCTCGCCACCCCTCTCTGTCCCACACGCTCCTGTGAGCTTCTCCGAGCCTTCCCGCCCCAGCTCAAGTCCCGCCCTTGGAAACAGCCTCGCTCACTGAGAACAGCCGTCGGGTCACCCGGCAGGCCAAGCTGAGGGTGCGCCCGCCTCCGCCCTACCATTACTGGGCTGGGCCGTCCGCACCGTCCAAGGGTCGACCCGGAGTTCCCGGCCCTCATCTGCACTGCGTTCCGAGCTTAGCGGCACACAGGCTGAGCACGTGCATTGGCAGGGCCCCAGACTCCGTCCTCACCCGCCTGCAAAACACGTCGGCAGGAGGATACGCCCCCTCTCGCTTGCAACGGAACTGTAAAAGGTGACCGCGGGACTGAGATAAAATTTGTAAAGTTCCGCAACGGAGAGGGGGCACCCGGATTTGAACCGGGGACCTCTTGATCTGCAGTCAAATGCTCTACCACTGAGCTATACCCCCAAGACAACAAGAGCTTTTCATTAGGATGAATTTCTGTGGAATAAGACAATGATAGTCCCTTTTCTCTATTGTACTTTTATCTGAGGACTGTGCCAGGGTAACCTGGTGGAAAGAACACAGAATCTGAGTGAGGGTGGCTAGAATTCTTGAGTTCTTCCTGGTCTCTCTATATCTGTGTCCAGACTCTCGCCTAGATGTCTACTGCCTGACTTGGGAAGGAGAGAGACCCACTGGCCCCAGGGCCATCCCAGGTCTTCCAGGGTAATAGCACTGCTACCTGTATACAGATGGGCAGCCTGGGTTTCCATCCTGTCTCCACCTCTACCTAGATGGGACTCCTGGGCTTTTCCAACCCGAGGACCCGTACTCCCCTCCTCCATGAGTCAGTATCAAACTACTCCCTCCACAGGCCCAGGCAGAGCCAAGAGCTCTCTGTCCTGGCAAGCCAGGTGTCAGTCACCTGGCAGTGGACCGTAGAACCCAGGGCCAAGGAGCCAGTCCGCCAGCCAGATGGAACCTTAAGGCAGCCCGCCCTCCATTGCCAAGGTGGATTTCCCCCTGCCTGAGAGCTTTGTACAAAAACCAAAAGCCAGTTTGAGGCACAGGCAGAAGAAGCAGGCAGAAATAAGAGATGATCAGTTTTCAATGGCATGTCTTCAATCATTCTAAAAATCCTAATACAATGTGAAAAAAAAGTCATTACAAAAAGACAGACAAGATAAGCAGACACTAGGAATCTGGGACATTTGGGAGTGGGATTCACATTGGAAGGACGTTGGGAGTGAAGCGCAAAGGATGGAGTGGCTTAAAGCTCAAAAGCTGTGGTCAGAGCCAGCATCTCAGAGGGAATGGGAAGGCCAGGGAGGAGCGGACGGCCCTGCAGTACGAAGGACTGTCCCTGCCTGGGACGTCCTGTCCTCCTCCCTCTCCCCTCCCAGCTTTTGGCTCTGCCCTCCTTCCCTTGAGCCCACCCCCTTCACCTCTCTGGAATCTCCTTTGCCCAAAGATGGCTGAGGGCCGGAAAGCTGGGATGGGGTTCTAGGAAATTAAAAGTAGTTCCAGCTCCCTGCCCACCCCCTGCCTCCATTTTTCCTACAGAGAGGAGGGCTGCGCGGGGCACGGGGAGACTCTACTTCCTAGTCTCCAAACACATCCAACAGCTTCCCTGGTGTCTGCAAGGACGTCTGCTCCCCTGGAGCGAGGGGCGGCTCTCTCTGCCGTCCTGCCTGCAGCAGTTCAGGGTGCACAGTCTGGCTCCTCGGTGGGGGTTGTGTAGACGGCAGCAGTCTCGCTGTCCGCAGCTGCCCCTGGTCCCACCAGAGAATCATAGAAAAGTAATAAATAGTCCCTTGGGTTTTCCACCCACGTACTTATTGCAAAACCCCCAAAGTTTCTGGTTTGCCTCAGGCTGGGACATCAGTTGGCAGTGGTCCGAGACTGCATCCACTGGAGCCCGGCGGGCAGCCTGCAGAGAGGGAGGAACAGGGCAAGGATTAGCATGTCCCGTGAGGATGATGGCCTTCAGGCTCTCAGCCCGTGCCCGGAGCCAACTGAGGGGATGACCGAAGTTACATCCGGTCATTCAGTCAACCAACAAACATAAACAGACTGAGGAACTACTATGCATCAGATACTGTGCCTGGACTTACTGGTGAAAAAACAGACACACTCTCTGGGGCTTACTGTCTGGCAGAGGAGATAGATGTAAAACAAATGATGAAACAAATAATTCTCTAACCATACTGTGATAACGGTTAGGAAGGAGTCGTGCACAGGCCTCTGGATGTCTGGGAGTCAGGGAGGGCTTCTCTGAGAAAGCGTCCTGGAGACCCACCTTTGCAAGGTCTCTGGGCAAGCTTCCACTGCCCCTTCCCATCACTGGGGGTAGTGTCAGGGTGACTTCAAAGGCCTAGGAAGAGGCTCCGGAAGCAAGTTCTCCCATTGGACTGTGAGCAACTCCAGAGCAAGGGTGGGATCTTGGTCATGTCTGTACCACCCAACACAGTGCATGACACATGGGAGGTACTTAGGAAATGCTGGTTGAATTGAGCCTACTGTGGGGGGGGGCGAGGGGAGTTCCTGACCCAGGGGGTGGCAAGGACACTGCCAGAAATGCGTAGTTCCTTGGGCTTATCTGCCTAAAGGCTCCCCGCCTCTTCAACCAGGCATCCAGCTCCTCAGCCTGCTGTGATTCCGCTTGAGAAGGAAGAGAGAAGGGAATTCTCTGGGCCCGAGGCAAGGCCCTCTGCGTGGCGGTGACCCAGCTCCTTCACATCCTCCAGCTGTTTACTCAGCAGCTACCTTCTCAGTGGCCCCTCCCTGGACACCTTATGTAAAATTACAACATGCCCCCACCTCCATCCAGTCTCCCTTTCTTACTTGACTTTTCCACTTAGCACTCATCCCTTTTTAACTTACTATATATTTTCCTTATTTTTCTTGTTTATTGTCTGTTTCCCCTCACTGGAAAATAAGCTCCACGAGGGCAGGGATTTTTGTCTGTTTTGTTCAATGCTGTTTCTCCGGTGCCTAGAAGAGGGCCCGACACAAAGTAGGTGCACGTGCACGTTAATGTTGACTGAATGGGGTCATTTACTCTCTCCAGAAACTCTGGGAGGGCGCAGGTGTAATTACCCGCCTCTTTAGGGATAAGGAAACTCAAGGTCAGAAAGAGTCCGTGATCTCTGCCTGCAAGGCTTGTCCCCGAGCTCTTCCCATGCTGTCTCCTCTTGATTCAGGTCTCAGCTCAAAAGTCACCTCCTAGTAGAGGGTGTCCCTGACCACTAGAGCTAAGTCAGACCCATCCCTGCCGCTGTTACCCACTTTCACTCTCTTCATAGCATTTATCAGTACCTAAAATGTTTGTGTGTAGGTGGAGTGTCGCCTCTCTCCCCACTGGAACAAGCCCCTTGAGAGCAGGGACTCTGTCTTGCTCACCGCTTACCCACAGCCTCTTAACTGTGAGTAGGTGCTCCACTGGCTTGGCCCGGGAGCTAACTGTGAGCCAGATTCTGACAGGAGAGAGACAGCAGAAGGTTCTGATGGTTGGTCATCCATTGGTGGGGCCAGGTTCTGGAGGTGCAGGTGGGGCAGTCACTAACCCTTCCCCAGTGAGGGCACAGCAGCCCTGTATGTGCCACGGGTGGTCTTTGATGGCACTAAGGGTGAGGAATCGGGAGATCTCCACGGTACTCATGGAGTCCTTCATGTCTTGCTTGTTGGCAAAGATCAGGACGGAAGCGTCTCGCAGAGCCTGTGGACAGAGGAGCCCAGCCCCAGTCAGCCTGCCAGGGCCCAGCCTCCCTTCCCACTGCCTGGCTCCCCTGCTGTCCCCGTAAGAGAGGCCCATGCCCAGGTTGGGCGGGGATGGGGGCCCAGCTCCGACACTAGCAACCACATCAAATGCCACCAACAGCCTGTGGAATGCCTCCCAACCAGTCCATATAATCCTTACAACAATCTCATGAGGTAGGATTTTAATGATCCTCCCCAATTTATACTTGGGGAAACTGAGATTGAGAGAGGTGAAGTGACTTGTCTGGGGTCCCACAATGAGTGAGAGGTGGGGTCAGGACCAGAACCAGCAGCTCTGGCTTCTGTGATCAGTTATGCTGAGGACATCATTGCCCCTCACCTGGGATAAACTAGCCCCGCCCAAGCTCCTGGGATAGAGGTTCGCAGAGACTGGGGCATGAGGAATGAAGCTCAGAGAAGCTCAGGGGTAGGCTGAGGTCACACAGCTGGGACACTGGGCCCTCTCCCATCTGCACAGGGCTTACCTCATGGGCCAGCATCTTATACAGCTCCTCCCGAGTGGTCAGCAGGCGATCCCGGTCCGTGCTGTCAATCACAAGGATGATGAACTGGCCAGCAGAGGGGAACCATGAGTGGTGGGCTTTCTCTTTGGTGAATGTGTCTCCTGCCCACTGTGCTCCCCCACTGGCCTCTGCCTGCCCTGATGCCAACCCCACAGAAAACAAACTGTCTAGTCTCAAGATCTCAGTGTCGTAGTCCCATTTTAATTCCCTTTTCCATGCAAACATGGGGAGCACACAGCACAACCTCTGATGTGTGCCAGAGGCTACGCGAAGCACTGGGCATTCATGACTCCGTTTTGGCCTCGCCGCAACACTGTGGCACTGGAACTGTTGTGATCCCCGTTTACCAATGAGGAGACTGAGGTCCAGTGAGGTGACGTATCTTGCCCTCGGCCACACAGCTGGTGAACGGCAGTGCCAGAATTTGAACTCAGCTCCATCTCGACTCCAGAGTTAAACCACTGAATTCTCCCACTGCCGCAGTGAGAAAGTAAGGCCCCTGGAGAAAAGGGCTTACCCCATTCAGTGCATCAAACAGAAAGCTGCCAGCAAGCAGACAGAGCTGCCAGGAAGTATTAAAAAATTTTAACAGGCACTGTGCTGCATTAAGTATTTGACACATATGCATTAGCTATTGTTTCATTATTTAATTTTCACAACTCAGGGAGGTCATTATTATGATCTCCATCTCACAAGCGGGGGAACCAAAGCTCAGAGAGGTTCAGGGTCTGGCTAAAATCACACAGCCCCTCTAGTCCCAGTGCCCTCCTCACCTCAGTGTTGGAGTAGTACATGTTCCAGGTGGAGCGCAGAGCCTCCTGTCCCCCTATGTCCCACATGAGGAAGTGGGTATTTTGCAGAACAATCTCCTCCACATTGCTGCCGATGGTGGGACACGTATGAACCACCTCATTCATCAGGCTAGGGAGGTAGGAGCAGGTACCAAGAGCTCAGGCCGGTCCACTCCCAGCTCTGGCCCTCCACCCCTCTGCTCACAAGTCAGGCTGAATCTAACCCAGAACAACTCAGCCCAGGTTGACCTGACCTCTCCTGGCCCCGGGGGAATGCAGGCAGGAGTGAGACCAAGTCCTGCCTGGGCTTGGACCCCAGACAGGGGAGACTCATCACAGCCGTCTCCCCAAACTTTAATATCACCTGCACGTTCAATCACCTGAGAGTCTTGTTAAAATACGGATTCTGATTCGGCGGGTGTGGGCCGGGGCCCAGCGTTCTGCATTTCTAACAAGCTTCCAGGTGATGCCAACGCTACTGGTCTGCGGACCACACTTTGAGCAGCAAGGGAATGGAAAAAGAGACAGACAGAAGTGAGGGCCAACAGAGAGGTGCTGTGTTTAAAGTGACATAGAAAACACACGTTTTTATGTGTAAGGAATGCTTCTGGAAGGTCTGTGAAGTCAACCTGGGAGTTGGGAGCCAGAGGGAAACTTGCTGTTCACTATATGCTCTTGTACTGTTTGGATTTTGCTTTTCTTCTAATTTTTAAAAAACCATTTACATACATCACTTTTTCAGGGGAAAATTTGTCCTAAGTAAAGACTTTGGAGGCTCCAAAACGGGAGAGAGGCCATCCAGAGAGTGAATATCGGGAAACGCTCCGATGGATACTTGTCAGCACGAGCGCCAGACTCTGCTAGACCAGAAGCTCCGGAGCTCAGCCGGACCCAAGCTGACCCTCCCCTTTGGGTCCGCAGAAGGGGGAGACAGTTAAGAGGCAAAGGTGGGGTGCAGGAGTTAAAAAGGAAGAAGCTGCCGCCAGGGGGGTCGAAAAGCAAGGAGGCAGGAAGAAGAGGCAGGTTGCGACAGCGTCAAGGCCTCAACCGGGTTTGGCAGGGGGCCGGGGGTAAATGGCGGGGAGCAGTGGGGTTGCCCATACTGTGCAGGATTCGAATGCCAGGCCGAGGAGCCACTGAACTGAGGGGTTACTACACAAGGAAGATCATACCAGCCTTCCCCCCATCACTCCTCCTGGCTACAGCTGAACGCGGGTACCCAGCGAAGCGTTCAGGTGGTTGGTCCAAATGCCTATCAGTCTGGTGGGAAGGCCCAGGCCCCTCCTCTCCCCACCAGAGTCACTCACAACTGGTAGAGAATGGTGGTCTTTCCTGCGTTGTCCAGTCCCACGATGATAACCTTGTGCTCTGAAGGCATCCGAGGGAAGGGCAGGGTCAGGGCCAAACCCGATGACCAAGGGACTGTGTGCCCCACCAGGCCTCCCAGGAAGGAGACAGGTGTCCCCACCTGGGAGTCCTCTGCTCTCCTGACCACTTCTGCGCCCCCTCCCGCCTCCTCCATCTAAAACCAACAAGACAGACTTCTTTCCCATCGGGCCCCGGACATTTGCGCCACTCCCGGATAGTGGAAGTGAGAGCTGAGCCCCACTTCCCTCGCTCCACATTTCCAGAAAAGTGATAGTTCATAAGATCCGGGGCGCTCTGGGCTTGCCAAGAGAAGGGGTCTGGGGAGAGAGCCGAGCGCGAAGTCACAATCGCAGGAAACCGGCGGCAGCTTTTAGCCAGGAGGAAGGAGGCTCGCCCAGCCTTGCGCCCCGGGGAGCACCGAAGCCACGGGGCCCTCGAAGAGCGGAGGGAGCAGGGGAGGGTGCGGAGCAGGCGAGGAGCGCCCACGCAGGACCCTCCGAGTCCGAGGTCCTCCAGCGTATCCACCCCGACAACCCCAGATCGGGGAGCTCCAGGTGAGAGCTGGAGTAAAGCAGTCGCTTGAATGCCCCCTGCGCCTCTTACCCTGTTTCCCAAAGATGCCCATCAACTTGGCGATCAGTTGTCCCATGGCTCATCCCGGGCCAGGCAAAGGCAGGACTTGGCGGTCTTTTGGGGTCCGGGTCCAACCCGGGTGCTTGGAGCCCCGCCCTCCGGGGAGGGCCGGGCAATTGTCAATGAGGTCACGGAAGCCCCACGAATCACCTGCTGGGCCTGGGAATCCCCTGGGACGCTGGCCCCTCCCGGGCACTATGGATGTCACCGTGATAACCAACTACCTGTCCAGAGCCCTGGAGATCAAGGAAACTGGAGTCCAGACTCCACATCCTCCCCCTCCCCCTGAGTAAACCCCAGAATTCTCTGGTCGACTGCTTCCCTAGTGCAAATCAAAGAGACTCAGCACAGAGCCCACAACGGGATCCCAGCTCTCCCTTCTCCAAGCCCCCAGCCGTGTCTGGGGGCACTAGACTGAAGAAAAACCCTAGGCCACCCGCCTTCCGCATCTACCAGCTGTGTGGGGCAGACAGGGCTCACCGATCCTCTCTGAGCTGGGAGAATATGCCAACCCTCAAGAGATCATTAGTTATTTCACTAGTGGGTCCTGAAGGCCCACTCAAAGGGAGCTCTCTTGGGGAAGGGCAGGGTCTCCCCTCCTTGTGCGGGTCCCTTGGTGATAGGCATCTTCTAGGAACAAATCAGGGCTGCTTCTACGATTCACTGACAAACCGACTGCTTGTGCACAGCTCCTTGACCCCGGAGGGTGGACATCTGAAGACGGGGATGGAGCAAGAGGAGAGACTCTCAGTCAGAGACCCTACAGTGGGGTCCCAGATACTAGGACCCAGCAGAGGAGAACCTGGGCCAAGAGAGAGCCAAACTGGAGGAGGGAGAGGAAGGGGGAGCCTCTTGTTGTTTGTGAATTTCCTTCTTTGCTTAAACTGGGAAAAACCAGAAAACAAAAAGAGAAGTGGGGAAGGCAAACCATCTTCAGGCTGAGGGGGTGGTTAGAAGGAGAGGCCACTCATCACACGGGAGAACCAGCTCTTTCTACCCCACTGCCACTGCCCTCCCACAGCCCATTAGTGCTCCCCTCTCCAAGGGAACAACTCTTTCACTGGTCTCCCTGCCTCTGCCTCCCCCTTACCCAGGGAATCCCCCTCACAGCCCTGTTAACCTTCCTAAAGCACAGCTCAGAGTCTGTTACTCCACAGCTCATAAACCTTCAATGGTTCCCTATTGCCCACTGGATTGAGATCAGTCTCCTTACCTTACAGTCAAGAGCCTCCAGCAGCAGCCCCACCAGCCTTTGCAGGCTCTCTTCCATGTTCCACACCCACTGGTCCTTGCCCACACATGCCCAGCTCTTTCCAACTGTGCTTTTGCTTCTGCATTTCCTCTGCCTGAATACCTTTCACCTTCTCAGAAAGGAGGATTCCTGAGACCCTTTAGCCACCTACTTCCCAAGCTCTGGCCTGGTTCTCCAGCCAAATGGGTTTCTCTCAACACTGAGGTTGTAGACTGCCATGTCTGTTTCTTTCAATCAACTGTGAGTCCTAGAGGTGGGGGTTCCTGTCTTGTTCACCTGTGTACTCCCTCCACGCCCCGCCTGGTCCAGTGCCCGGCACACGGGAGGAACATGTTACTACGGGACTGAAGTACAGTGAGTTAAGCTACAGCCTGAGAAATGGTGTTTGGAGTATTAAAAAAAAAAAAAAAAAGGAGTATGAACACCAGTTGAAGAGGATTGAGGAAGGCTGGGAAGTTTGTGGAGAGAAGAGGGAAATTCTGTGTTCACTGAATACAGAATTTCCATCCCACCTAGCTTGGTATCCAGAGTTAGGAGAATTGACTATCAGAGCCCGTCTGGGTGATTCCATTTCAGCCCTAGGGGAGAAGGAGCTGGGGCTGTGGCTGGGTGGGGTAGGGTGGGGGCGCAGAGGGTGCTGGGGGAAACGGCAATGTTTTAAGCATTTTTACCATCTGTTTCCTGGAGGCAAAGGAACCTCTTAGTGCACCCTGCCCTCCCTCCCCCAAATGCAGAATTGAAAGTGACATTCTGCCAGCTTTTGAGCACAGTCAGTAAACAGACAAGAGCCGTCTCTGCTGTGAGGCCTAGAGCTGGGATCTTAAAGGGCATTCATTCATTTATTCATTCATTTGACAAATATGAGTCAGGAGTTAGGAAACATGCCAAGGAGACGAAACAGACCCAGTCCGGGTCTTATGGAGCTTACTGTCTAGAGGAGGAGACAAATACACACCAAAAACAAAAAAAACAAACAAAAAAAAGCAACCCTGAGACACAGTAGGTGGGAAGGCCTGATTTAAAAGGGAGACAAGGCACACTTCCCTGAGGATGTGATTACTGGGGCTAAGACATGAATTTTCTCTAGGTACGGGACTGGAACACCCCCTTGCTCCCAGGCTATTGTGGCCCCAGCTCAGTTCACTTGATTTTCGAAAGGTGGAAAGTTTCAGCCACTCCTGGGACTGAGGCCTCTCTGACCTCCTCACTCTGGGGCAGAACCTATACAAAGACAGAAGCAGCTAGTCAGGGAATGAGAGGAGGGTACCAGGCCGGAGGGGTCCCCGGCGCCTCAGTTCTTGAGTCCCTGAGGCGGCCGTGGTAGTAGCACCAGCCTCTCTCAGCCTAGTCCCAGCCGACTTCAGGATTGTTGAAATTCTCACACGTTGACAACCACCAGTGTGCTGAGTGCGCATTGGTGGAGGGCTTGTGGTTACCAAGAAATAAAAATATCTCTCTCCCCCAAGCCACCTAGAAATGCCCCTGCCTGCAAGTTCTGGGCAAATGCAATTTCAGGCAGAAGGCACATGGAGAGGAGACAGAAAAATATTCAGACACCGGCTTCCCCCTCCCCAATGCCCCTCCCCTTGCAAAAGCTGGGGCATCCTGGGGTAGGGGAATTAGCATCTTGGGGGTCACAGACACCACAGAACTTGAAATCCAAAGATCTGAGTACAAGCCTTGCTTCACGGCTGTGTAACTATGGACATGTTGCTTAATCTCACTGAGCTTTTTCTGTAAACTGAAGTTAATAATCCCTGCCCTTGATTCAAAATATCAGGCTCCACCCTAGAGGGAGCTCTCCATGGAGTGCCAGAACAAGCACCCAGCTGTCTTCTGCTCTTCTCCTCTTGGCTGTCCCCCAAAGGCACCTTAAACCCACCTTGTCCAAAGCTAGATGTTGTTTCTATTTCTAACCTGGTTTTTTTACCTGCTTCCTCCATGTCTGAGAAGACTACCACCCACAGTCTCCCCAGACACCTCCCTCTCGCTCACTGGCCACCTCCAACCACTCTCCAAGAGCTCTCGATGCTGCTAGCTGTCACTGGCACCCATTGCCTGCTTTCTCGTTCTACTGCTGTGGCCTCACGCAAACCCTCCTCATTTCTCACCTGGGGTCCTGCAACTGTTTCCAGGCTAGGTCCTCCAGTCTATGCTCCAAAGCACAGCCAAGGCCATCTTGCCAATGCTGCTTACAATCCTTCCGTTTCTGCACACCAACTTCAGGACAAAGCCCAAGCTCCTTAATGTGACTCAGGGCCCACTGTGACGTGCTCCTGCTGACCCCTCTCTGACCACCACCTTGAGAGCACACTTTGCGAGTGAACTGCCAAGAACAGGTCATGCATGTCCCCCGCTTCCCCTGCCTTGAACACTTCCCCCACTTCTCTGGCCAGGTTAACTCCTTAACCAACCTTCTAGATTCTGCTCAAGCCTCCCCTCCCCCAGGAAGCCTCCCCTGAGCTCCCCAGGTTAGGGAGTGACTCCTCTTCCAGGTTCCCCCAGTGCCCAGTGCTCCCCACATCAGAGAGCTCATTGTGGTGTCCTGAATTGTCTGTGGTTCCCATTTAGACTTGTGCTTGGTACATAGTAGGTGCTCAATAAATGTATGTCCAATGACTAAACATGGGAATAAAGGATTGAGTCCATTGAAAGGCAGTGGCAAGAGCAGCACACTGTGGGGCAGAGACTGGGCTCCAGGCCCAGCAGAGCTAGCTTTGCCATCAACTCTCTGGGGACCTTAGGCCAGCCACTTGACCTGTGGGCCTGCCCAGTTCCTCTTTCTTTGGGTCTGCTAACCCCTCATCCAGAGAGACCCAGATGTCTGTTGCCCTCTACACAAACACACTTTAGGCAGGAGCATTCAGGTGAAGGACCCAGGAGCTCTAGTCCTCCCAGTCCACCACCCCAGAAAGAACCAGAAGTGTAGAAACCGTTTGTGGGTGCTATGTGAGGCAGGATACAGGTGATGGCAGCTAACAACCGTCAGAAGTCTACATCCTGCCAGCTGGTGATAGCAGGAACTGGCAGTCACCTGCTGACTTTCTTCCTTTCTTGATCTCTCAGGCTGGGACTGGGGGAGTCGCCAATACTCAGCTCCTCCCCCAAAGCTCGCTGACAGGGGCTGGGGGGGTGGTAATCGTGGGGTATCAGAGCAGGAGGGAGCCGGAAGCTCGGCTCCTCCCCCTCCTGAGGTGTTGGGGAGCAGCGGAAGCCACAGGAGCAGAAAAACAAGCACAAGCCTTTAGGCCATTGTGCCAGCGGGTCTGGATCTCACCCACTGAATGACACCCGCAATACCCGATGTCCCACCTCAGCTTCCCGTTTTCCCTGGCTCTACTTACGAGATGGGATAGGCATGGGTGGGGCTTGGGGCTGAGTGGGGAGCCGAGACCGGCCACCCAGCTCCTGTCAGGCTTGAACATGATGCATCAGAGAGCCGCAAAACAAAGCCCCATCTCTGCTGTTGAGTAAACAACTTGGGGCACAGCTTATTCCTGCACCCACCCCTTCACTCCCCCCGCACGTCAGGATAGGCTGGCAACCGTGTGTGGGAACAAAGAAGCAGGCTCAGGAGGCGGCCACAAAGGACAGGAGGCGGTTTTATATGTGGCAAAATACTTCTCCTAGGGTAGTACAGACAGACAGACAGATGGGGGCACAGGACACCAGACAGGGAGGGGAAAGGTTGGGCAGTAGTGTCTTCTAACCAGTAAGTGGAAGCTGCACCCCACCCCCAACGTGGGGAAGGTGGGACAACATTGGCACAGGAGGTGGCGAGACAGGCATGAGGTGCCCATCCCTGAGGTGGGCAGCTGGGCAGGGCCCAGTCCTCGTTGGCACAATCGGCTCTCTCTGGCCCAGCTGGGATGCTGGGGAGGGGCAGAGCTGCTGGGCTAGGGGATGCTAGGCAGAGGGACACTCTAGGGCAGAGGGGGTACCACGGCCTCTCCTGGGGGGAGTGGACATGGGCAAAGGACAGGATCACAAGAGGCAAATACAGAGCAGTAGCAGCAGCAGCAGCAGCCAAGCCCCCCAGGGGAGATCCAAGGCAACCTCTGGGGTGATCACCTCTTGGGCACCAACCCAGAGGGCCTCTCCCCTGGGGCCTCAGAGTGAGAGTGAAAGTGAAGGAGCAGTTTTTTGGTTTCAAGATGAGGCGGACCAGAGTGGTCTATGGGTTCCACACTGAGGTGACACAAGCATGGGGGGCTCAGACGCAGCGGGGCCCCCTCTTCTGATGGCAGCAGGCAAGGGATGTTGTAGGCAAAGCTCATTCCTAGGGTTGGCAAGGGCCAAGGATGGAAGAGGTGGGGTGGGTAGCAGTGTCACGGGTTGCAACCCACTCCTCAGGGTTCTAGGTCCTGGGCACGCAGAGGGCACTACTGCTGATGCCTGCCAGCTTCCACCCAGAGCCCCCCTCCCCCCCAAGACAAGCTCCCCATGGGGCTTCCGCTGTAGCCTTCACCTATCTATCAGACAATGCTGCCAGGAAGCTGGGTGGAGGGAGAACATGGTGAGGGATCCTGGATTTGGGGTTTGGGAAAGAGAGCCTTCATGGGAGAGAGTCTGTGCTCTCCCTCTCCAGGAGAAGCTCCCTACCCTTCCCAAATACTCCAGCTTTGGAAAAGAAAGGGCCACCCCATTTAGGACCCTCATTTAGAGGCCCAAGTACAAAGAGTTAAGGAAGTGCACCTTTTCTCTGGGAGAGTGAGGGGAGAGAGCCCCCTGAGGTGGGGATAAAGGGGCACTGCAGAAAGGTGGGCAACCCCCAACCCCCCCCCCCCCCACACACACACACAGCAGGTAGGTAAAAACCTACAGCTGGGGCTTAAGGGACTCCCAGGAGCTGGGATGCTACCACCACAGAAATCCCAAACATCGAGCAAAGGCATCTGAAAGGAGGGAGACAGCGCCCCCTGGAGGCAAGATACGTCCCCTGTGGTGAGCCCCTCTGTCCCTCCCCTCCCCCGGGCTCAGAGCCTTTCCTCCCACTGCATGTCCTCTGCCTCTCAGCGGATGTAGACACCCCGCCCCCAGCCCTCCAGCTCATTCTTGTTGCGCCCCAGAACTGGACCCCCGCCCTCCGCGCAGTAGCGGGCCTTATTCCGGCCGCGGTTCCGGTTGTCGGTCAGCTCCTCTTCATAGTCATCATCTTCATCCTCCCAGGATCCCTGACGGGCTGGTGGGGTGCTGCCCCCTGCAGGGTCTCCAAGCCCCGGCCCCTCTGAGGGGTCAGTCTCCATGTCCACACATGAGTCTCCCAGCTCCGTGTAGGCAGAGTTTCGGTTGCCAGGAGTGTCAGCATCAAACGTGTCTTGGCGGGAAAGTGCCCGCAGGGTGCCTGCCCGGCCTGGTGGGTGGCTGCTGGGGTAAAGGCCTGGGGGGTGGCCCGGCTCCCCTGGGGACTCGTGCACGCTGGGGTGCTCCCCGGTGGCCCGTTCCAGCGACTGGTCCCCGGAAGCAAGGTAGGGTCCCTGGTTAGCAGACAGACGGCACACACCATGCAGATCAGGCAGAGGTGAGAGAAACACAATAAAGCAAGGCAGGTTAGTGACAGCACCAAGACACCCAGCCTGGCTGAAGGAGGAGGGTGCTGCTCTAGGGGATGGGCAGCCAGGCAAAGGGCTCTAGAGCCCTGCCCAGGACAGACCTCAGGGCATTTGTTCCTCTATTGGCACAGGGGGCGCTCAGCCTTCATAAGGCGCAAGGAGGCATGAACTCTCCTGGTAACCATGGTAGAGAGCCCATGAACAGTTAGTCATGGCTTCCTCAACGCAGGTCATCAATGCATCATTAACAGCTCATTAGTATGGCCACTTGTTAGTGGTTGATTGGGTTAGTCATTGCCCCGGTTTTCCAAATATATCAAGAGGGGATTTCAGCTCAAGCTCACTAACCCAGCTCCTTCAGCTCAAGGCAGACCTTAATCACAGGCTTCTAGAACCCTACACTTCTCCCCCACTTCCTAGTCAAATGACAGAATCTCCAAGGTTGATGGGCTTCCTCCCCTGCCCCAAAAAAGACTCAAAGCTGCAGGCCGGGGAAGGCTGGTGGGTCTCTATCCCCTATTGGAGATGATGTCCTCATCACCAAATGTCACATGAAGGTGACACGATGGCCACTGCTACCATAGAGGCTGCTGGGTGGGGTGCAAAGAGGCCTGGGTTCCAGTCCCATCCCCCGCCACGTCAAGCTGTGTGACCCTGAGCAGATGATGCCCTTCTCTGTGACTCAGTTTCCCTATGGTGGTGTGATGGGGATTATACTAGAACAGCAGTCTCCAAACTCCCGTGGAGATCTGGGGTGGAGTGGGGAGGGCAAAGAAGTGCTTCAGGGGTCCCCATGGAGGTGAAGCAGAGGCAAAGGGGAGGCCACGTCACTGGCTCCCTCTGAGCATAGCAAGGATGCTTATCTACATACTGAGCATCCACCTAAGATTCAGTGGACAGATGGGCTCTGTTGCTGAAAACAAATTTGAAAAGCAATGGTCTAGAATGATTTAATGGGTTTCTTCTGGCTCTAATCTAGAACCAAATACTTAATGATGTGATCTCAGAGATGGGCTGTGGCTCTTATGGGTGGCGGATGAGGCAGGGTGGGGCACCCATCAGAGGGCCTTTCCTAGAATCTGTTTAACTGGGAGAAGGATGGAAGGTGCAGCATCAACTCACAGATGCTTCCTCCAGGGTCCCTTCTGAGCGGCTGCCTGGGATTAGGGCTCTGGGGGAGGAGGCAATCTCTCTGGGTTTAATGGCTCTGCTCTGTGGGATTTCCTGGGTCTGAGAGCCCCTCCTCTGTTGGGTCTAAAGTGGGTATGGAGTCCAGCAAATGAATATATTGGGTCTTCCTCATGTTTCCTTCTTAGTCACTTGTCTTATAAGGTCTCCAATCAGGCCTCATATCCAAAAGCCCTCGGGGCAGCAGATGTAGCCATATGGGACCAGGTCCAGGGAGGCACCACCAGCCAGCTCCAATCCCATAAAAACCACAGACACCAGAAGCTGCCACTCACCACATTTTTTACAAAATAAAGCTCTTCCTTCCTTCCCCAGGTTCCCTGAGCTCCAGTTCAAGCCCCGGGCAGGAGGGGAGATGGGCGGGGGCACCTACATGGTGTGCTCCTGATGCTGGGGCACTGCCCCGGGCTGCTGCGAGGCCTCCAGCCCGCCCCAGAAGCTGAGATTTCTCCTGAGTGAAGTGAGCACCTGTACCTGGAGGTTGGAGACAGGGGCGGGGCTGGCAGCCAGGGCTGCCGTAGCCATGGTGCGGTTCAGCAGCGGATTGGGCGGGGTGCTGCTGGGCGGGTGTGTGGCCTTCCAATAGGCTTCCAAGTATTCGGCCAAGTGCTCGCAGGCATCCTCCAATTGGTTCTCGTCCAGGATGATATCAAACATTTCCTGTGGAGGCGGGGTTAGGGGCGGGGCTGGGATGAGCCGGGCGTGACCAAGGGGGTGAGGGTGCGGCCTGGGTGCAGTGGGCGGAGTCACAGGGTTGAAGGACAAAATTAAAAAGAGACCTCTGGATGTCCAGAAAGAGAAGGAGGGCTCTCAGATATATACATGGGCAAAACTATAAGAGGTCTTGGCACCCAGATAGTCCAACTCCCTCACTCTAGATATAAGGTTAGGGACGGGCTGGACTCTCCACAGAGAAGTGGTGCCGCTGGGGCTTGAACCCAGTCTCTGACTGCCCAATGCAGCACTCTTTCCCCAGAGACCACTATGCGCCTGTGAACTAGGCCCAAGTGTTCCTGGTCACACCCTCTCCCACGCAGGCCAGAGGAAACCAGGAGAACCCAGATGTGCCCCTTCCCTTCCCCTGGGTCTGAGCACTCACGGGGGGACACTGCGCCAGCTTCTCCGAGGCTGCTATTTGGACATTGAGGTGTTTGGACTGAGACTTCCCTCGAGACTTGATGAGCCTCTGAAGTACCTGGTTTGGGGGGAGAAGAGGAGCTAGTGGAACCCCGTAATGCAACAAGTCAGAGAGGCAGGTCCTGGCTGGAATCAGCATGGAGAGTCCACGTCAGGGCCAGGGGATGCTCAGTGACTCGCAACCCCGGCCACCTCTTCAGAATTGACCTCACCAGCCCTTGTCCGTTCTAATCTATGATGCTCAGGCTCTCTCCTGGCTCCCATGCCGGCCTCTCCTGGGAAGCTCTGCTGGCAGCAGCTGTACGAAGGGCAGTGATTTTCCTTCTCAACTCCTCTAACGTTCTTTACAGGCCTCATTCTCCAGGCCAACTTCCCTCCACCTTAACAGCAACCATCCTTGGGACACTTGCTATGTACCAGCACTATTCTGTGCTTTTTACATGATCAATTCATTTAGTCCTGACAATAATCCCACTAGGCAGCCACTATTATAATTCTCACCTCAATCATAATAATGATAATAATAGCTAAACATAAAGCCACAACCTTAACTAAATAATCAAAGTTAACATAACCGATGATGCAACAAACCGACATCATGTGCCTCCTGATACAGGCCTTAGGACACATGGCTTTGGTGGTATCCTGCCAAAAATGCAAAACCTAAATCCAGTTGTGAGGAAACACCAGACAAACCCAAACTGAGGAACGGTCTACAGAATAAGTGATCTGTACTCTTCAAAAATGTCAGCGACATGAAAATCCCAGAAAGGCTGAGGAATGGTTGCAGTTTAAAGGATCCAAAGAAATATAACAACTAAATGCAACACATGACCCTCGATTGGTGCCTGGGTTCAGGGGAAATTGCCATAAAGGGCATCATTGGGACAACTGGTGAACACTGAAGAGGGACGGTATTTTAGATGACATTTCTTGAATTTGACAATTATACTGTGGTGATCTAAGTTAATGTCCTGGTTCTTAAGAAATACGTATTGAAGCATTTTGGGATAAAGGCATACAACATCTACAACTTACTCTCAAATGGCTCAGGAAAAAAATACAGATATATACACACATATGCATATGCACATAACACATACATACACAAAGATAGAGGATGAAGTAAATGTGGCAACATGTACAAAATTAGTGAATCCAAAAAACAATTGAATTGTATACTTTAAATGGCTGAATTGAGTGAAATGTGAGTAACTACATCTTAAGCTGTTTAAAAAATTAGTGAATTTGTTCAAAGAATGAGAGTTCTTTGTACTACTCTTGTAACTCTTCTGTAAACTTGAAATTATTTCAAAATAAAAATCTTAAAAAAACAAAAAAGAATAGATACAGTGCTTCGTAGGTACCCGGCACTTTGCATGGTTAATCCATTTATTTAATCTTCACAACCACCATTTGAGGATCCCTGTTTGCAGACAGGAATCTGAGGCCTAAAGAACTTAGGTGACTTGCCAAAGGAGCAGGGGCTGGTCAGAGGCAGCGCTGGGAGGTGAACCCAGACAGTCTGCCTCTCAAGAGTCCTCACCCCTCACCTCAGGCAGTGCTCTTCCACGGGGAAATGGAAGTATCTATTACTTTCTAGTTCACAAAATGTTTCTGCATCCATTATCTCATTTGATCCTTGCAACCACCCCAGGAAGCACTTAAATCCTATCATCCTCTTTATGCTCTTTAGAAACTTGGGACTCAGAAAGGTTAAGTAACTGGCCCAGGGTGCTCAGCTCATAGGGTGTTATCATGAGATGATAACAGTTACCTCCCCTGGTTGCCATCATGAATCAGACAGAACACCGGGCTCTTTACATCATTACCTCCAATCCTATCCTCTCAATAATAACACAAGAGAGGGATTATGACCCCCATTTTATAGGTGGATAAATTGAGGCTCAGAGGATAAATAATCCCCCCGAGGTCCCAAGTTCAACAAAAGACAACCACCAAAAAAACACCAACAACAGAATTTAATTAATTAATAAGCCACCCAGAGCTAGGATTTGAAGGCCATGCTGTCTCCTAACTTCAAATCGGTCACCTAAACTCCACCTCCATGATTCTCAAGCCCCCGCTAACGGCTAGGAGGGAAAACTAATGGACCTGCAATGTGACCAAGAAGCCAATCAGCCTTCCTACCGATTCCATCTTCATCAAGACAGTGCCGCACAAAGGGCTGAACTCAAAAAACAGGAAAGACCTCCCGACTGTCAAGCAGCTGGTGACACTGGGACAAAAAGCACAGAATTCCTTCAGTTTTTTTCGACCGAGGATGGGAAGTCAACCAGAGTGGAGACAGGGGCCTGGCCTGCATGACCCTAATAATAATATTTATAATAGCTAAAAGACGATGAGGTACATTATGCCAGACCTTAATGCTAAGTGTTAAGTATTCACATTAGGTTGAATCTTCACAATATCCCATGATGTTCATCGGGGAGATTAAGTCACACCATTAGTGAGCAGTAGCTGGGATCTGAACACAGGCGGCACTCCTGTCCCCACTGCACCCACCTTGGGAGAGGTGATCTTGATGTAAACAATGATGGGGGCCAGTGAGGTCTTGGAGAGCTGGGCTGGGTGGTTGATGGTGTCGGCGTCCAGAGCGACCAACTGAAGGGTCCGGGCCAGCTCGAAGATTCGCTCGATCTCGCTCTGAACCTCAGCTGGGGGACATGGAGTCATGGGGAAGGAGGAATGGAAGGGGGTCCCCCAGGAGGCAGTGGTGGATAGAACACTTCTAGAGATTGCCCCTCCTCTCCTTCCCCTCCCACACCTGGCCTGGGGCAGGGGTTGTGGGGCCCAGGGGCGGGGGAAGTTGTTGAAGGGGAGGCTCACCCAGGCTGGAGCGTGTGTTGGAGCGCTCAATGATAATATGTTTGCTGGGGTTGTTGAGGACTGAGCGCTTAGCCAGGGAAATGTCTGCTGTCACACGAGTGATGGAGATCCTGGGGGATGGGGTAAGGGGAGTCTGGGGTCAGGGTGGACTAGAATGCCCTGCCCACTTCCCAGACTCCAGGCCTGCCTCTTATCCCTCAGTCCAAGAGTCCCAGGATTGTCATTCAGGCCATCCCGCCCATCCCCAGCAGCAGAGGACCACTGTGGAAGTGGGGAGCCAGCTCCCAGGGTCTTACCTGCCATCAAACCGATGTTTCAAGAAGTCAAATAAAGCTTTCTGCATCATGTCTGTAACCTGAGGTTGGGGGTTGAGGGAGGAGAAGTCAGGCATTTAAAGCCACTCAGGAAGGGTGGGCTGCTGGGTATTTGTACCCTCACATTCCATTTTCCTCCTAAGTTCCTGAGATGACTGGGCCCCTATGCGGGGGAGGGAGGGTTCCTTCTGAGTCTGGGGGACTCCAATAGGGTCTCTGGTTCCAAAGGGCCGTCTAGGTGGTATCTCTGGGAGGACTTTTCTGGGGGTGGGGGGTTGGGGAAAATAGATCCTTCTGAGTGAGTCTCCCTCTGGGTTGGGCCCCTCTGGGGGGTTTCTCTGAAGGTCTGTAGCCCTCTGGGGAGGACACCCTGGGAAGGCCCTGCCGGGGGATCTCTGGGGTCTGAAGACCTTTCTATGGAGTCTCTCTGGAGGTCTGGGCCCCTCAGGGTCCACTCCCCTCTAGGGGCTCCTACCTCATAGCCCTTGAGCGACGGTCCCACCAGGATGATGGGCCTCATGGAAGGTACCACGTCATAGGGGGGCACATGCTCTGTCTGGGGGGAAGCAGGCAGGGGAAACCCCAGAGTGGAGATGGCATTAGCCCCTCTCCCCCAGCCTCCAGGATCCCTCATGCATCCTTTCCTCCCCCTGGTCCCAGAGCCCAGATATGGGGATCAGAGTGGCGGTGGGAAGGGATGGCCAGGGAGAACCAGGAAGGGTGGGGGAAATGGGGGTGGGCAGATAAGGGAATGGGTGTTAGCAGGTCCCCCTAGCTCATCCCAGGGGGTGGGGAGGGAGACACAGAAAGCTGTGATACTCACCGACTTCTGCTTCTGTTTGGCTGGGTCCAGAGATTGCCAAGTGGGGGGAGGGGGAAGAGAGAGGGGAGGGCACCCAGGCAGGGGCAGAGGGCAAGGAAGGAACCAGGACAAGAGAGGGAGGGAGAGCGGGCAGACGAGGAGAGATAACAGGGCATGCGTGTTAGTGACAGACAGAGCCAGAGAGAAGGGACGGGACCCCATGCCAAGAGGGAGCCAGAGATAGCCCTGGATCAGGGCTGGGAACAGGACTGACGGCCAGTTCAGTGGACTCGGGAATATTCAGACTACCCTGCCCCCTTTCTGGGTTTTGGAAAAGAGCTGGAAAGGGTGACAGCCCCTAATTTGGTGCCCATCTCCTAACCCCAGTGCAGGCCAACCTGCCCATTTTAAGGGTTCCCTTAACTGTCCTGCTCTGCAGCCAGTAGACTCCCATGTGCCTACCCTAGCCCCATGGAGTCCAAAAAGGACAAACAAGGGCCACCATTCCACTCTCCCCTTCACATGTGAGGGTTGGGGGCAAACATGGACTGTCCCACCGGTAGTGAGGGAAAAGGTCAGTTTCATTACCACCTGACCCTGCTTCTGGGCCGGGGGCAGCCTTCCAAGGGAAGGGGCACCTCGATTGCAAGAACCATCGCTTCCTGGGGCTGGGTGAGACTGTATGCGGAGATGGTGCATTCTACCCCCTCCCTCTTCCTTGGCAGGAAGCCCTGATCCCACAGAATCAGGCTGGTACATCTGAGTCTATTCCAGGCCCCCTCCCCCTGCCAAAGAGCTGGGCCTTGACCCCTCCCCTCTTGCAAGAACCCAGTAAGAATTACCTTCTTGAAGAAGGGGATGCGTTTGCCGTGGGGTGGCGAGGTGGTGACACTGCTAACACTAGTCTTGGCAGAGCCACTCTGCTCACCAAGCTCTGCCTCCTCATCCTCTAACTCTAGGGGGTCTAGTTCAAATGCTAAGTTAGTCATTTCATTACCTGGACCGGAGAGTCAGGAGAGAGGGAGGAGGGAGGCGAGGTGGGGAGGAGTGAGATGGACATGGAGACACAAGTACAGAACGCAGGGATGGGATGGGGAAAAAAGAAAGAAGAAGAGGTGAATGGAACAGGGCTGGGAGAAATGAATGGGGGCGGGGGGTAGGGGAGTCAGGCAGAGAGATGGAGCTACCAAAGAAATGGGAGAGGAGAGACATGAGAGGATGGGCGCTGACAGGCCCAGCTTGTGGGGCGCCCTACTCTTCATGGAGGGGGGACCACTGCATGTGTTTGGAGGACTCACGATAGGGATGGCCTCTACTGCAGGGAAAGGAGGGGACAGGCAGTGGGGAGATCACCCCACCCAGGAGCTCCCTGAACCCCCTGGGGTGGCGGCAGCTCTTACCACTGGCAGGGGGCGTGGGGCGGCGGGTGCCAGTCACCACGTCTCCCAGACTGGAGCTGGAGTTGTCACCTGATTTGCTGTGTGGGCAGAGAGGCAAATGGAGCCGTGAACAAAGGGGTGGGCGTGAGGGTGGGGGAATCTTGTTCTCTCACATGCTGCCCACCCCCCAGGAGATCCTCCAGCCCCAGTGGTGATGCCACAGGCTGCTCTGTGCCCTCAGGGCAATGCGTCAACATGTGAGGCCTAGTCCTGGCTGGATGGCCTCTCCCAGGGTTGGGAGTGCCCCGCCCCCAGCCAGACACCTGGAGCTGAGGCGGTTCTGGCGCAGCTTCTGTTCCTGCAGCAGGCGCAGGCTGTCCAGTTTGACAGGGCTGGGGATGAAGCCAACCTCACAGCCCTCCTTCACCAGCCGCCCGATCCACCAGTCATTATTGTATTTCTGCAAACAACAATGGCAGGTGGGGTGGGAGAGACCCAGAGGGAGACTGGAGATGCGAGCCAACAGCCATCCTCCAGGGGAAACCACCCTCAGACTTGCCCACCCTGCCCAAGGGGTGGCAGCCTCAAAGAACCTGGCCCCTGGCTCCAGCCTCTGAGTACAGGCCCCGATTCTCAGGACAACTCCAAGACCAGCATCCTCTTGGGCTATGGACCACCCCATCCCCAGCACATCCCTGTTCTGGGAGTCCTTCCTCCACCATGTGCCTGCCCTACCCTGGAAAGTCAGGGAGAGGAATAAATGCTGACACCTACATGTCACCTACAATGTGCCTGGCACGTTGCCCCTCCACTTACAAGCCTCATCACAAACCCTCCCAACAACCTTGTGACCTAGGCATTACCACCCCATTTTATGAAAAATTAGAAGCTCAGAGACATGGAGAGATTTGTCTAAGATCATATAGATTCAGCCCAGCTCTGCTTGGGTCAAAAGTCTTTTTCCACTAGAACTCTGGATGCCCCTCTCCTAGCACCCACCACCATGCCCTCCCTCCAGATGCCAAGTGCTCTCCGCACCTCTTTGATGTGCAGGAAGTCCTTGGGCTCGAAGGTGATGGCCACTCCCTGCACAGGCACCTCATCCCCTGGAGTCGGGTTGTAGCCGACATTTGTCCGCACAGCAAATGCCACCGGCTTGGTCTAGAGGAGGCACGGGGAGGATGACAATCAGATTAAACCACAATGTAATGTACAACTTCCTGACTGGGGTGGTGATTATGTGGAGGTTTGTGTTGTAAATCGTTCGTTTAAACATATACTGAATGGCTTATGTAGTTTTTTGTATGTACGTTAAATTTCGCAATAAAAGAAAGAAAGCAAAAAATAGCACTGTCTTCTCAGGGTGCAGGATGGCACTGGGGAATGATAAGTATTCGGGGTTGGGGAGCCCAGAATGAAACCCAGAAGGAATAATAATAATGGTAATAATAATTAATAATAATAGTAATAGTAATAATCATGATAGCTACTACCGTTTAGTGTGCCAGGTACTGTGTTACATGTCTCACACACATTATTTCATTTACTTATTCATCACAAAAGCCCTATGAAATTAAGTACTATTATTATCTTTATTTTAATGAATGAGAAGACTAAAGCTCAGAAAGGTTAAGTGACTTGCCTGAGATCCCACAGCTTATAATAGCCCAAGAAGTTCGATTCCAGAAAGAAGTGAAAACTTTTAGCACTTCTCAAGTTCCTATTATGTGTGGAAACAGTACTAGGCACTTATTATACTGCACAAAGAGGCAGCTATTAGGGCCCACATTTTACAGATGACAGACAGACGTACATCGAGGCCCAGGGGTACACCAGCTAGGAAGTGGCTGAGCCGAGACTTGACCCTGGGTCCATCCAGGCTGTCTCTAAGATGTGGGGGTGGGGGAAATAATGCCAGCACAGCCCCACTCGCCTCTCTCACCTTGGCTTTCTCGAGCTGGGCTAATGCCTGGCGCTCTGCCTCCTTCCTTAAGGCCTCCCGGTCCTCCTCCAGAGACACGTCGGAGTCCGACGGACGGCTGGTGTAGGACTCCGCCGAGCCCTGAAAACAGACAGGGCCTGCTCAGGGCCAACGCTGCCTCCCCAGCTCCTGGGCCTCAGAAGGCATGGAGGTACCACCCATTATGGATGTCTCAAACCCCAGGCAGCCCAGCATGATGCCACAAGGGCCAGAAAAAGGTGGTATTAGATGGGAGCAGCCAGAGATTGAGGTTTGCAGGACCCAGGGAAGAGTGTGGCCCTAGGAAGGGTGACAGCAGCAAGCAGGGGGTTAAGGCAGGTCCAAGGACAGCTGCTGGGGCCCCGGGAGGGGTGGGAACCTGATAGGGGCACTGCACAGGGGAGGAGTGCCAGGGGACGCGTCTCCACTCCCTGCTCCTCCTTCCCTCCCCTGCCCCCAGTACCGGCTGAGATAGACTCAGCAGAGGCCCAGTGAGTCCTCCCAGCTCCCAGTATAGCCACCAGCTTAGGCCTGAGTGCTCTGCACCATTGGCAGTAGGCAGCCTGCTCGGCATGATGCAGCCATCAAAAATTTTGCTATCTTTTGCTCAAAGATGAGAGAAGACAGAATCCTACCTCCACTGCCAGAATCAGGAGAGCCCCAACCCTCAGGCTCATGAGATACAAAAGAGAACCCAAGATTCCTGGGGTGGTACAGGCGGAAGAGGCAAGTTAAGAGCAGAATATGGGGCAGGACTTTTCCCAATACCAGGGCTGCCGGCTGCCGGGGTCAAGGCAGGCTCAGAAGTCTGGGTGTGCCAGGAAGCTGGCCTTGACCACCCTGACCATCCCAGAGCACAAGGAACTCCTTCAGGGATGCAGACACATGTGTAAGACACACGTAGCCTGTCCAGACCCTGAGTGTGAATGAACATACTTATTCATGGGTCTGCTTGGATGTGCAACTTCGAGTGTATTTAGGACGGTGTGTTCCATGATTAAGTGCTGGATGTGCATGACTGAATGCACACAGGTACACATGAGTGCATACAGGGGGGTCCTAGGTGTCTGTGTCTCTGAGGGTGTGTGTGGCACGTGAGGGCAGGAGCCAGGAGGTGTGGATTTGTGTGACCACGCTGCGGTGGTGTTGCTGCAAGGGACGGGAGATGATGTGGGAAAGAGCAGAACTGCAGAGATGTGGGGGTCCTTTCCTGAAGGCATGAAAGGGTCACTTGGCCAGGAATGTCCATTAGCTTAGTATGGAGGGGACCTGGGAAAGAGCGAAGACAAAGTCCCACCTTCCTCAGAGGGCCCTTGTCCTTAGCTAGCGCTGTTGTCCATCCCCTTCCTCAAACCAAGAAAATGGGAGACTCGTGAGGGGAAAGTGGGTGAACGGTGGAGGGTGGGGTCTCTAAAAGGAGCTGGAAAAGAGATCCAAAGGAAGGAGAGTGAAAACCGGCCAATCTACCACTCTCCTGCTGACAGGAGCACTCAGAGCCAGGGGGACAGACGCCCAGAGAGCCAGAGAATGAGACCCAGAGATAGAGTGATAGAGAGGCACTTACTGACCCCAACACACACACATGCACACGGACATATAAGAAATGGCGGGAGGCAGGGAAACAGTGAGGAGGCAAGGAGACAGGCTGGAGTGTAGGCCCCCCCACCAGCTTTCTTGAGGGGCTGCTCCCACCCCCCTACCCCCCACCCCATCACCAGCTCACCACTGCAAGGGTCCGGCTGGGCGCCTCCATCCTGGCGCCCTCAGTGCCTGGCCCTGCTGGCCTAAGGGGTGGCCCAAACTGCCCGTTCCCCCAGGGGGCTCAGGTTACAAGCAGAGTTGCTACATGTGCAAACTGCTAGGGTATATTTAGCTCAGAGATGTGGCAAGGACTGCCCCCCCACTCGCCGCCACCTACTGGGGGTCAGAGCTGGGGAGATGAGAGGAGGAGGGATTGGAGGCTGGGGTCTGACCCCCTGGGGTCGGCAAACACTGAAAGAACCAAGGCCCTCTTCTGTCAAGAGGGGTGACACCAAGCACAGTGTCATTCTTCCTAGCCGGGTCCTGACCCAGCCCTGCAACAGGAGGGATGAGGGAGAGATTGAAAAAAGGACTTCCTGTATGTATGCATACTTAGGAGATGCTGGGATAAAGGCTCCCTTTCCTGACCCTCTCGGGTCAAGCCTGGGCTTAGATGTGCCAAGTGTTGTAGAGACAGAAGAATCACAAACAAGGGCCTTACTCCAGTCTGTGGTGGATCTACCTGGCACCATCCTTTCTCCCGCCCAAGGGGCGATGACCTCTCTACCATCCTCTGCCCTCATATGCCCTGCCCATTTCCTCTTCAACATACTCCTTTTCCTTGTCTGCTCCCGAGCTCCTCTCCCCTTTTTTGGGTACCAGGCTTTATTGAGATGCTCTGTAGTCATAACAACCAAATGCCTCTCTCGCTGCCTTTCCCTGAGCCTGAGATGACCTGGGGTTGAGTTAGAATAGAGACGAGAATGGCACCTTCCTGACTGAGCCCAGATCCCAGAAAGCTATTCAGTTACCCACGTCAGTCAGGGGTGCTGGGATAAAGTCCTCTCTAAAACCAACTCCCTCCTGCCTCTACCCCACCTCCCTCAACGCATTTTCTCTCCGCATATTAAAGAACAGTCCTATCTGGATGTGAGAAGGGCGGTTTCTGGACCCATACCTAACCAGAATTCCAGGCTCTGCAATGTCCTGGCTCCGCATTTCTTAGGACCTGCCTCTACCTCATGCTGTCACAGATTCTGGGGGAGGACATGGAAGCAGACAGCCGGCAGGGGGAGTGGGTGACAGCCCGAAGCAAGCTAGAATGAGGCAGGCCAGGCTGTCCCTGAATGAGATGACGCAGGCAGGCAGGCAGTAGGGGCTGGTGCTTGGTGCTGGGGGAGGGGCTGGACGGACGGGGGCTGAGGGAGTGGGTGCAGCTGAAAGTATATGCAGGAGAGGTCATGGGGTGTGAGGGTGATGGGGTGATTCAGGCAGGTGACAAATGACATGGGGGAGGGTGCCTGGAGAAAGCCTCAGACCCAGCTCACCAATGCTGGTCTCCACCAGCCAGCCACCTCCCTCTCCTCAGCCCAGCCTCCCCATTACCTGGCGGACAAAGCTGTTGGATGTTGTATCCGAGGACGTGCTCCCATCCGACCTTTTGAACCGCCCTTTCCTCTTGCTGTATTTGCCCTGGAGAAGCCAGGAAGGGACAAGAGTGGAATCAGAAAGCACCTTTCCCAACCCTCATCCCATCAGGCCCAGAGCTACAGCCAAGCCTCGGGAATATCATTCCCTGATCGGAACAGCCCCCCCCCCACCTTCTTCCCAAGATGGTACAGCCCGAGGGGGAGGGAAGGCCCAGACCACAGCCCTGGGGTGGGGGACAGTGTACAAGAGCGCTGGGAAGCACACACAGAAACCCCCAAACCAAATCGCAGAGGCTGGGAAGGGGGAGGCACTGACAAGCTGGAGACTCATTAGGCAGCAAAGCTAATTAAGATGCTGGGCAGGCTGCAGAGGCCTGGGGGAAGGGAGAGGCTGCCTGCAGTGCTGGGGGGGCCAGCAGGCAGAGAGAGCTGGGGAAAGTCCCCCGCCCTCTCCCCCTCAACTGGAGCAGAGCGGGCCTGAGAGTGCTGTGGCCCCAGAGCAGAGAAGAGGAAAAGAGGAATGGCCACCGGGCCCAGGCAGGCTTCTCCTCATGCCCAACTCTCGCCTTCATTTTTCATTTTTCGCTGAGTGCAGAGGGGAGTGGCAGCTCTCAGCTCTTGGAGACCCAAAACGAGATATCCGGGAGTGGTGGGGGGTGTGGAACTGCATTTGGAAAGTGAACACCCAAGCCCAACTCTGGCTCAGGGCCATGGGGCAGATTTAGCTATCCCCACCCCAGCCCTGGCAAGACTTTGTCTCAGCCCCCTCCTCACCACCACAGTGGTCACACTTCTTCCCAAGGGGGTAAGAGAGATGGAGCCTCCTCTCTCTAACCCCCAGCTGCCACTGCCCACACGCTGTCCCCATGGTACCCACCAGGCTACGTCAATCTAAATGCCCCTTGGCCCTGCCCCAAGGCCAGCCTAGGACAGAGCCCCCACAGGTCCCTGAGGTAGGCTGGCTCAGTCTCACTGGTTGGGCTCCTGGCCTGAGTGGAGTGGACGCTGCCTCACATCTCAAGCAGCCATGCATTCAGGGATTTCCAGGCCTCCTGTAAAGGGGGCTGCTTCTTTGCCCTCCCCTACTCACATACACACATTAGCCCCAAGCCAGCCCAGAGTAGGGTAGAATAATTGAGGGTTCAGGCCCTCCAAGCCCCCGCCGCCAGCCTCCATCCTAGAGTTTCTTTGCCAACAAAGCTAGATAAGCCACCACGAGGCTGGGGGCTCTGGTTCCTTGGACCTGAGTACAGGAAGGAAAATGGAGATGGGACAGAAGGGCACCTCGGAACCCTTCAAGAAGCCTCCCTCTCATTCCCTTCTCTCAATCTAGACATACACCCAACCTCTAGGATCGAGGACCCCTACAAACTTAAGAGGATCTCTCAGTGAGCCCCAGACTCTTTCACACCACCACCACCCCAGGCTGGGAAAAGGGAGTGGCACCCAGAGGGACAAGGGACAGCTGAAAGGAAGGCCCCAGTCAGCTGCCTCCCAGGCTCCAAGGGGCCTAGGGTGGAGAAAGGAGGTATTTTTAGGTCTGATCTGACCCCCCCTACATGCCCATCAACCACATTATCATGATGGTTACAGTTGCTCGAGACTGGCCACAGCAAGAAAAGAGTTAATGCTATCCTACCCTTGGGGTATTGCCAGATTGGAGAAGGACATAATATCCCAGAGAAATTCCCTGGCACGACCCCCCCAGACTCTGCTGGTCACCAACCACACCCAAGAATGCCCCTTCCTGGGGGTAAACCAGGGGCACAGCAAAGTGTGAGTGGGGGTGGGATGGCAGACCCCTCCTGAAGGTAACACAGCTTCTTCCCCTCCAGGACAGTGAGTTGGCATCCATCCAACTTTCCAAACTTTGGAGGCGTTTTCCGGGGCTGGGGGGTGGGGTGCGGAGGGAGAGATAACGTGGGTGTTGGGGGAGGGGAGCTGGTCCAACACAGGGATGGAGCTGAGGTGTCTGGGATGGGGGCCTGGCCCCTTCCCGACCCTCCAGGACCAGTGTCTGCGGCTCCGAAGACCTGCTGGCACCGCCCTCTGACCATCTCCTCGGCCATCTCCCGGGGCCACCCCCGCCCCACCCACCCTTGCCCGACGCCCCTGAGCGTGCTCTGCGTCGCCCCCTCTGCCAGAGCTCGCTCTCCAGCTTCGCTCAATCTCCGGATCCCCCCGCCAGCACCCTTTCTCTCAACCCACTGGAGCCAGTACCCGAGCAGCAGAGACCCCGACGCGGGGGAGAGGAGGAGGCGAGGATGACAGGCGGCCCAACCACCCCCTTCCCGCTCCGCAAAACCGCAGCCCAACTCCGGGCCAAGCGCCCATCAATCATTAACCCGGCATGATGAGGGGCGCGCAGGCGCCCCTCTCCCCTCGGCGCCGGGCACAGAACCCCTTCCTGCCCGGCGCCCCCCGAGCCGACCCCACAAGCAACGCGGAGGCGACCCCCTCCCCTCGGGCCCAGCCACCATGCCTCACCTGTGGGCTGGGGTCGAAGACCTCCATGGGGATCTCCTGGGAGGGTGGGTAAGGGCCCCGGGACATGCTGGTCTTCTGGACCATGGAGAGGAGTCTCCCCTCCGGCCGCCGGCCCGGCCCAGCCGGGCGCCCTCAGCGCATGAGAAAGGCCGTCGGAACCGAGAGCAGCGCAGCGCAGCCAGCAACCGGTGCAGCCACCTGGCCCGGTCTTCGGTTGCCCTCTTCCTGCCTTCCCTCCCTCCTCCCGCTCTCTCCTCTGCGGCCGCAGCCTCCTCCGCCCCTGAAGGCTCAGCATCTCCCCCCGCCCCCTCCCTCCCTCCCTCCCTCCCTCTGCCCGCCCCAGCCCCGCCCCTCGCAGCCCCTCCGGCGGCTCCGCACAGACAATGGGAGGGCGGCCGGAGGGAGGCACGCCCCTCCTGGCTCTAGACGGGGCTCGGCGCTGGCCTCGGTCTGGCCCGGGGTGAGGGCGGCCCGCTCTGAGGGGAGAGGAGAAACCGGCCTTGGGGCTGGGGGCGGGGGGTGCGGCTTACCAGTGGATGCCGAGCCCTGATGGGGGTGAAGCGCGGATTAGCATGGCTGGCACCTACGCCCCCTTCCGTCCCAAACCGCTCTTCCTAGCGGTCTGCCCATTCCACTCCAGCTTGGGCCACCGGAACTTCCCGCTCCCGGTTATCCTGGGACCTGGCTTTAACTCCTTTCTCCCCAGTGTGCGCCCGGGCCGCCTAGAACCAAACAGAAAGGCCCTTCCACCTACAACATGGTAGTGCAGGCCGGCCGGAGGCTGAGGCTGGGGTGGGGAGGCTGTCCAAAGGGAGTCCCAACAGAGACAGGAACAAGAAATCCCAGGAACCCAGGAGTTCTTCTGCCCTAGTCGCTAGTATCTCTCAGGCCCTCCCAAAAGGCCAGGAGTGGGGCTGGGTGAGGTCCCTGTTCTCGGAAGAGAGAGGAAAGAGGAGGAAGAAATGTGGAGCTGAGGAGAAACTGGCTAAAATCAGGTCTAACGCTCTTGCCCTAGAATTGCTACCCCTTCATCCTTGATTTGGGGACAAATATCCAAGGCCTGGACCCCACACACCATGATCTGTGGAGAGAAAAGGAACAGGGGATTCTGGCAAGAGACTCTGGTGCCAATTTGGTAAAGGGTCTGTCTGGTCACATGGCCCTGGACAAATCACCACACCTCTCCTGCAACATGGGGTTGCCGGTACTGTGCTGTCTTTGTCACCTGGGATTATTAGGAGGATGAGGGAGAATGAAATTAAATGATGGATTGCTGGGGTGTTTGGAGATGCTGTAAGGTGCTGTACAGGAGTCAGTCAAGACAGGAGGACCTCTTACCGCCATAGGTGCCCCTTCCCGTGCTTCATAGAGATGAGAAGCAGAATGGAGAAGTTCCCGGGTTCAGTGACCCTAAAATAAGGCCAGCCTGCTGTGTTCTGCTGGAGGAGAGACTGTGGAATACACTGACGCCTCCTCCTCGCTCTGGGTTCTGCAACAAGTGGATGGGCAGCCTAAGTCGTTTCTCTGATCACATTACTTTGAGGGAGAGTGAGGATGAAGCACATTAGCATTGTTCCATGAACAGATCCAACCCTAGCAAGGTTCCCATTTGCTCCCTGGACACGAGAGACCCTGGCATGACAGACAAGGCATGGGTTTTGCAGTCAGAACTGGATTTTCAAATTCTGCTACCTCACTCACCTGTAAAATGAGGATGACACTGATTGTGTTGTGAAGAAGTGGCATGAATTTTGCTTCCCTCCGTCTCTTTTGACCTTCTCAGCTTTAATTGGCAGCCAGAAAACTTCCTGTGATAGAGATGGGGTGATCTGCTTGAGCCAAGCAAGGAGGTGGAGCCAGAACTCAGATCTAGGTTTCTTAGACCCCAGAATATTCTCCTTGGGTTTTTGCATTGGGTGCTTCAGAAAAAGAGGAAAGAATTATGGGTGGTCCCATCATTCAAATTTATTTATTTTTTATTTTTAAAATTTATTCTTTTAACTCACAACTGTTCATTCACTCAGACTGTGCACCATTTCTCAAGTGCCTACAATGTGCACAGCTCCATGAGAACCAAACAAAAGACTGGTTCCCACCATCAATGAGCTTGTTGTCCTGATGCCTTCCTTTGCAATTTGCAAACGTTAACTCACGTGATTTTCACAAATGAATGACGGAAATATTAGGATTAGGTACACTTTACAGAGGAGGAAACTGAGGCGCTAACAGATTAAGCACCGTAGTGAAGCAAAAAACATATCTAGCGATCTGTTCTGCACGCCAGAGGCTCCCACTCTACCGGGAGAGTGAATTACAGGTTGCTTTTTCCTGATACCTGCGCTCATTGTTCTCTCTCGCTTCATTCATAATTTTTTTTCCCGCTAATAAAGCATTAGTCTGGAAGACGCAGGACGCCTGCTAGGACTAGGCCACTCTAGCAAAACCCCCTATCCCGCCTGCGCAATCCACCCTGACTTCCGGCTGCCACTGCCCACGTGACCAGGTACCCTTACTGCGCGTGCCTAGTAGGAAGTCGGACTATACCACTTTGCCTTACCGAAGGGGTATATTTTCTATGTTTTTAAGTTTAAAACCGACTCTCTATATTAGGCTTCTATTATTCCGCGTCTTTACAGAGGTTTAAGTAAGTTGGGGTGGTAGGAGATGAAAGGACCCGAGGAGAATACAGGCGAAAGCGGAGTGGGGGATGGGCTCTCCCCCTCACAGATAATGGGAGGAGCCTGGCCAGACGGAGTTCTTTCCTTTTGCTGCTGCGGCCGCAGCCATGAGGTGAGGGCATGTGGGTCTCCTGTCTTGTTTGATCCGGCCTGCCGGGGGACAGCCGGGCTCGGTACCGCGGCCCTGGGTGGGAGAGATGAGCTGGAGAGGCCCTGACGCGGCCGACCCCGGAGTGTGGGGTAGGCCGGAGCACACCAGGCCCCGGCCTCTAGAGGGTGGGGGTGGGGAGCGTCCCGGGAGCGCGGGGCCTGGGGAAGGCGGGCCCCGCGCGGGTCGGAGGCGATCCACGCGGGCAGAGGAAAGGCAGCGGCGGGGACTAGGCAGTGGCCTCCTTACTGGCTGGGCGCACCTGGATCCGAACCTGTCTTTGCTTCCATATGACGTAGGACAGGCCTCCGATTGCCGAGACTTGGGCGACCCCTAGCACTTTGACGCCTTCCACCCCAGAGACCGCTCATGAGAAGATGAAGGCTAGCTGAACGTAGTTTATTACTGTGATAAGACGAGGAAAAGGAGCCTGGGTAGCAAAGGACTAGACTAGACTAGCAAATTGGGTCCACTGGCCTCGGATTCTTCGCTTTAAACATTTGTTTTTAGAGCAGGATACCAGAAAAGGGCATAAGCCCCCACTTCATCCCAATTGTATCTGTCAACCTCATTTTCCAGAAGAGAAAACTGAGGCACATCTTGGACTTTGTCTTCATCCCAGGGTGGCCAGTTGCCCCCTACAGGAACGCACAGCCCTAAGCTTTAAGAAAGATCGTCATATAGGAAAGATTCTTATTCTGAAGATGTGGCGTTGGTGGCAAAAGTCTTGGGGGAGATGTATTCACCCTTAATACTAAGTGCACGTACACATCCACTTTCCCATATGTCATGTTTGGTAACCACAGAAGACTTTGGTGGGCAGCTCTTGCTGGGGATGCTCATTCTCACCCAGGAATGGCTTCCAGGGCCTGATGGTGTTTTCTCTTTGTTACAGTATGCTCAGGCTTCAGAAGAGACTTGCCTCCAGTGTCCTCCGCTGTGGCAAAAAGAAGGTCTGGCTGGACCCCAATGAGACCAATGAAATCGCCAATGCCAACTCCCGTGAGTTCCTGGGGTCTATGTCCCTTCTTTGCCCTACCCCTTCCTCCTCCATGAGATGAAAGGTGACACAATTGTGTTGACTCTTAACAAACCTAGGAAAGCTCATAGTCTGGGGGTCTTGTAAAATGGAGGAGTCCCAGGAGTGCAAGGATGCCAGATGTTCTCCTCCTGTCATTTGCCAGAATGACAGGATAGAAGTTAAAGGAACCACCTGATGTTTTAATGATGATTACTAGAGTAGCTATTCTGTTGTATAGCTATGTGAAGGAAGAGGTGCAGGGACTGGGGTGTAGAGATGGCTAAGGAAAGGAAGTGGTGAGTTTGAAAGACCTGAGGCCTCAGATTTTAGTAGAGGCCTATTGGCATAGAATAATTCAAGGCAGTTAAACAGTTGTCATCCTGCAGATAGCATCAACATACCCACATTAATTCCATGTAACGTGGTTACAGAAAAAGAGTATTCAATGACATTTGTTAAAGATGGTAAGGCATGATTTATTCAGGACCATTATGAAAGACATAGGGACCACTGCAATGTGGGGGAGAGATGGGGCTCAAATCTTAATATAGCATGGGCAAGTAGGAATTTATAGCCAAGGAGCATGGTGTGGGGGTCAGTGGATGGAAAATTAGTAAGAGGAAACATTAGAGGTAAGAGAGATTCTGGCTAAACTGACCTAACAGGGTTCTTGGCGAAGACAGGCCAGGGTGATCATACCTGACCAGGGGAATGGCGGTTGATGATGAACCTGATCTGACATCAAGGGTAGGGGTTTCTGCTTAAACTGACTTAAGCAGCTTCTTACTAAAACTAGAATTTACAAGGAAATGCACAGGTGGGCCTAGGAGAAGGTTCAGGAGATTGATGAAAGTTTGGTCAAGCAGAGAATCTTTGTCAGTATCACAGAATTTCTCAACCTGCTTGGATTTGTGGTATTGTTTGTGCTCAAAGCTCCTAACCTTGTTTTAGACCAGTAGCTAATCGGTGAGAAAGATAGGATCTGAAGGACTAGGCTGTGTCTGTACACTATCTTGATCACGCATTCCCAAATATATGTATTTTTAGTATGCTATAAAACATCTACCAGGGCAGAAATGTTTAGAAGTTCCAGTATAGCCACCATTTTGTTTTGTTTTGTTTTTTAAGATTTTATCTTTCTTTTTTCTCCCCAAAGCCCCCTGGTACACAGTTGTATATTTTTCAGTTGCGGGTCCTTCCGGTTGTGGCATGTGGGATGCCACCTCAGCATGGCTTGAGGAGTGGTGCCATGTCCGCGCCCAGGATTCAAACTGGTGAAACCCTGGGCCACCAAAGCAGAGTGTGGGAACTTGGCCACAGGGCCAGCCCCAAGCCAAACCACCGTTTTTGAGACCACTCGGCTAGGGATGTGAGCACTGTCTCTGTCCTGTCCTGTTTGGACTCTGGGGCTGGTGTTCTTGGGGCTAGGCCCCAGCTGACTGACCAGGTCTGTTCTGTTTTCCCAGGTCAGCAGATCCGGAAGCTGATCAAAGATGGCCTGATCATCCGGAAGCCTGTGACTGTCCATTCCCGGGCTCGATGCCGGAAAAACACCTTGGCCCGCCGGAAGGGCAGGCATATGGGCATCGGTAAGTGTGTTCTTCCCCTTTCTCTAAGACTTAAGAAATAATAAATGTTTAAGTCTAGACTGAGATATATTCAGGATCTTTTTCTTCCCATTCTATCTCATCTTGAGCCCTTTTCTTACTCTGCATGTGTGCTTTTCTTCTGTATGAATCAGAAAGTTGACAGTGTTGGAGTTGAAGGTATTAGTAGAAAGAGGTCACATTTGTTGAGCATCTGCACTATGCCAAGGATTCTGCAGGGTGCTTAAATCCATTGTCCAGTAAATCCTGAAACCACTGTCGAGGGTCAGGATGATTTAGGGAGATGAAGGTCACACCACCTTTAAAGCCCTTTCCAGCTTCGCATACTGCCTTGGTGCATACCGTGTCAAGTCCGCCTTCTGCATGGAGTGAATGGGGGATAATTGCCTTGTTTGTGCTTCCTTAAAAATTGAGTAAAGGAAAGAAATTAAATACTTGGGATCATCATCTGTAAAATGGAAATAATGCTACTTAAAATAAGATGAAGCACTAGGCACATGACCCCGGTGACTTATAAAGTGTTTCAGAAATTGCCAGCTATCATTGTGACCATTAGCTGGCTCTAGTAACTGACTTGAGCCCCAGATGCACATTGTGGGCCTAACTCATCTTCCCTGCAGGTAAGCGAAAGGGTACTGCCAATGCTCGAATGCCAGAGAAGGTAACCTGGATGAGGAGGATGAGAATCCTGCGCCGGCTGCTTAGAAGATACCGTGAATCTAAGAAGATTGACCGCCACATGTAAGCACAGCTTCCTCTTGGGTGGGACCCCACTCACCCACCCACCCATTTGTTGCTTTGATGTCTTGATCTTTGCACAGATTTAAGCTCTGTCTCATTGACCTTGGGGACGGAGTCCTGTATCTTAGGCCTTTCTAAGAAAGTTCTTCCGTTCTGTCCTATTTTTCTTTTTTCCCCCCATAAACCATCAGGATAGCCCAAGAATTGAATTTGTCTGCTGGTTGAGCTCTTCTGTCCAGAAACTGCACAGTCTTGGTTTAGGGGAAGTAGTCCCTGCAGCAGAAGAGAGGAAAGGAGCCCTGCGTACTTAGGGACCTTGTGTGGAGGGGTAGACCACAGGGCCAAACTCTGATCCATTGCTGACCAGATCCTCTGCTTGTACCCTTCAGGTATCACAGCCTGTACCTGAAAGTGAAGGGTAATGTGTTCAAAAACAAGCGGATTCTCATGGAACACATCCACAAGCTGAAGGCAGACAAGGCTCGCAAGAAGCTTCTGGCGTAAGTTTTTTCAGGAATTGGCCTCTGTGTCATGGGGGCAGATTCTTTGACCTTCATTATAAGGGATCTTCTGAGACATTTAAAATGTGCTGATGGGCCAGCCTCAGGGCGCAGCTGTTAAGTTCACATGTTCCGCTTTGGTGGCCCGGGGTTTGCTGGTTCGATCCCGGGGGGGGACCTATGCACCGTTAGTCAAGCCATGCTGTGGCAAGTGTCCCACATATAAAGTAGAGGAAGATGGGCATGGATGTTAGCTCAGGGCCAGTCTTCCTCAGCAGAAAAAAAAAAAAAAGGAGGATGGTAGTAGATGTTAGCTCAGGGCTAATCTTCCTCAAAAAAAAAAGTGTCGATGCCTAATCTTGACTTGCCTGCAGTCTGTCCAGAATTCAGCTGTTGTGTTACAGGTATATGCTCCTCTGTCCTGTACACACCCACACACCACCTCCCATCATTGTTGGGATAGAAATTGGGTTAGTTGAAGCTGAAGCTCTTGGTGGTCTCAGCAACTCGTATTCCACCAGCTGTCTAGGCTCAAGGGAGAAGTCTGGGCATGTGCTTCTCTCTGCCCAGCAGCTCATCTTTTCTCTTCCATTACCCAGGGACCAGGCTGAGGCCCGCAGGTCTAAGACCAAGGAAGCACGCAAGCGCCGCGAAGAGCGGCTCCAGGCCAAGAAAGAGGAAATCATCAAGACTCTCTCCAAGGAGGAAGAGACCAAGAAATAAAGCCTCCCCCTTTCTTGTCTGTACATAGTGGCCTCGACAGTTCGGTAGATCAACCATTCAATAAAACAAGCC